AACCAGTTGATCTAGTGTCCCAACCTAAACATATGTAACCAGTTGATCTAGTGTCCCAACCTAAACATATGTAACCAATTGATCCAGTGTCCCAACCTAAAGACATGCAACCAGTTGATCTAGTGTCCCAACCTAAAGACATGAAACCAGTTGATCTAGTGTCCCAACCTAAAGACATATAACAAAGTAAAAATGTTTAATTTATTGTTGAATGTTGGTTTAACTTAGAAATTCAAAATCACTTCATTTTCGTCTCTTAAAATTATCCTAAAAATATCAATTTTCATTAATAAATTCATTTTTTTAAATTGATTATTATCAATGAATATAATTTACTGATATATTAATATTAATTATCATTTCAATAATGTTGTTGCAGATTTTTTAGGAGAGGAAAAAAGGTAATCAACAGAGTTTTATCTTTTACAAGACTTAAGGGTAATTCGGGCATGTATACCTTTAATTTCAAGTGAAATATGGCAATGTATGATTTACAACGAAACCCTTAAAAGCTTTGTCTGATCAAGAATGACTTAGATATTGATGTTTATAATTTAAAAACTGATTATTCTCAATTGTGGTTTCTCTACAAACGTGACTTGTGAATTTCTTCTACAGAAAAGATAGTATAAAGGAATTATCAGAACCTGACACTTTTAAGCCTAGAAAAACGACAATATCTTCTACATTCTTGATCAAATTAAGTTTTCAATGGTGCCGTTGTGAATCGGTCATTGCCATCTTTCATAGAAAGTCACTTAAAATTATGCTTACAGTCCAATGAAGTCACCTTTAAATCAGGGATGTTAAATTTAGAGTTTGTCGACAACTGCTGTTTACTGGTCGCCTGAATAATGAAACAAATATTAATAACAACAATATTATGAATTCTGGCATAGAAAGGGCAGGGTATCTAATGTTATGAATTCTGGCATAGAAAGGGCAGGGTATCTAATATCATGAATTCTGGCAAAGAAAGGGCAGGGTATCTAATATTATGAATCCTGACAAAGAAAGGGCAGGGTATCTAATATTATGAATCCTGACATAGAAAGGGCAGGGTATCTAATATTGTGAATTCTGACATAGATAGGGCAGGGTATCTAATAATATGAATTCTGACATTGATAGGGCAGGGTATCTAATATTATGAATTCTGACATAGAAAGGGTAGGGTATCTAATATTATGAATTCTGGCAAAGAAAGGGCAGGGTATCTAATATTATGAATTCTGGCAAAGAAAGGGCAGGGTATCTAATATTATTAATTCTGGCAAAGAAAGGGCAGGGTATCTAATATTATGAATTCTGGCAAAGAAAGGGCAGGGTATCTAATATTATGAATTCTAGCATTGAAAGGGCAGGGTAACCAATATTATGAATTCTAGCAAAGAAAGGGCAGGGTATCTAATATTATGAATTCTGGCAAAGAAAGGGCAGGGTATCTAATATTATGAATTCTAGCATTGAAAGGGCAGGGTAACCAATATTATGAATTCTAGCATAGATAAGGCAGGGTAACCAATATTATGAATTCTAGCATAGATAGGGCAGGGTATCTAATATTATGAATTCTGACATAGATAGGGCAGGGTATCTAATATAATGAATTCTGACATAGATAGGGCAGGGTAACCAATATTATGAATTCTGGCATAGATAGGGCAGGGTATCTAATATTATGAATTCTAGCATAGATAGGGCAGGGTATCTAATATTATGAATTCTGACATAGAAAGGGCAGGGTATCTAATATTACGAATTCAGACATAGATAGGGCAGGGCATCTAATATTATAAAGGTACATTTCCCAAAAGCTCACTATTTTTCGGTTTTCCCAATCAAGCAAATAAACCCCCTCGAAAACGCCTAACATCTGGAGGAATACAAATTTCAAAAAAGAACTATATCCCCTCTGTGAAAGAAATGTCACCTGGTTGAGCCGATCAAAGGTCTGCTGTCCTGTTTTCTCCCCCGGGGCAGATATCAACCAGTATTCACTTGTATTCATCGTTCTTCTGAACAGTAGTTTTAAATCAGACATTTTCAAATTAACTGCTTAATCGTCTACTTTCAGTCGTAAAAATTGAGCCTTAATTGTAAGAATGACATGACCGACTCACAACGGTACCATTGAAATCTTTGTCTTTAAAAATGTTGAGGTATCCCTGATTTTCAGCTTTAAAATAAATAGATTGATATAATTGCGGACTTCTATAAAAGTGACTTGCAGATTTAAACAACGAAAGAGAAAGAAGGAAAATGTTAGAATCCAAAGACTATAAGCCAAAAAAAAGACGATATCTATTATCTTACACAACGTTTCAGAATCAAACATGCCATTCTATAAATGGAGCAGGGGCGTATTCCGGAATTTGTCCAGGGGGGGCTTAATTTTTTTCTCTTTCCAGGAAGGNGGGGGGGGCTGAATGCGCCTCTGAAATGGAGGTTCATTTTTGAAATTACTTCTCCAGTTCCTTAAACATTCAAATTACAACGACTTTCTTTTCACTAAGTGGCTAAAACATTGCAAATTTGATCCATAAGAATGGTTCAGCCAAAATAAATTATTTTATCATTACACTTGGAATTGGAATTAACTCCCTATTTATGTCACCAACCAAATTGTAAAGCACACAATAAATCTATTAATTGTTTAACATAATAAAATAAGAAAAATCCGCAAAATATCACTGTAATTTCCTTTAAACATAAACATGTGATGGACAATTCTGGTTTCACAGAGTTTCAGGGGGAGTTGTTGTTGATACTGTTCTTGTATCTTGATCAGCTGATTTGTCATAAGATTCACGCAGGAACTGGTTTTCCTTTTTAGAGATTAAATGGGTTTTGTGTAAAATAAGGGGACTTATTTTTATAATTAACTAAATTTTATTAAATCATTTCTTAATAACAAGAATTTTTTTTTTAAATATTAATTTTAAAAAAACATTACCCCTTATTTGTGTACACTCTCCTCTCTCTCTCTCTTTTCTCTCTCTCTCTCCATTCTCTTTATTAAATTGTTATGGTTTAAAAACATTAAAAACAAAATCAATTTCAGAAGAAAAATACATTTTTTACTTTATTTGGGATTTTTTTGTTAATATGTTTTGTAAGTCTGCCATTTTCATCTTTCTTTCATTCATGCCATCTATCTATGATGATCTATCTATCCATCTATCTATATTTCTATTTATCTATCTATCTATCTATCTATATTATGTAGCAAAGTTAAAGCAGCTGAATGAAACATAGACCGGTCGTTGTCCCCACTTCTAATAAAAATCAAAATAATAAACAAATTTTTTTTTTTAAGGAGATACAACCAATTAAAATGTGAAAAATGACGTAAACTATTGTTAGAAGATTACAGTTAGGGTGAGTTCAATATTCTATATTTTTATTTTTGTTTCAAAATCTTTAGAATTAAATATCCTTTACAATGAACCAAATGTAGAGATTATTTATTTGGTTAAAAATCTTTTCAGAAATTACAAATCAATATTTGAGGCAAACCGGTCAAGGGTTAAATTTCTGAGTTATAATAGGACAAACAAACAGAAATTGCAACTTTATATATAAAGATTAATAGCTTGGGAACCCAGTGTTGCCTAGGTTACTAGTTACTCCCGTCGTTTACCCACACTTGGTCGATTTCAGTGGGAAACTAAATTGTCGAAAAACTTAGACTTAGAATCTCAAAACCATGCTAAGAACATTCCTGTGGTTCTCCTGAGTTCCCCAATCAAAATTTGAGGCAAATCAGTCTAGGGGTTCCTAAGTTATGATTCACAACCCAACTATTCTTTGGAAGTTTTGTTCAGAGGGAGAATTAAGAATTTCAAGTAATGGTTGACAATTGTATCTGGGCTTAAAAATCCATTCTGATCAATCAATTACTACAAGATAGATCCGGATTCATCCTGTTTGTAAATGTTTACCCATATTCCATGGATTAATAAACTCCGATCTACTTCATTAATAATCTTCAAGTTCTACTTGGTGTGTGGAGTGTGTGTATATATAAAAAAACCACTATTTTCACCTAAATTTTACAGGTGGGAGGGCACACGTACCTTGCCCCCCCCCCATCATTAGCCCTGGCGCTCTGTAGCCGCTTTAGAACCAGCCTTTCTTCAGTCTCTGTTTCAACAATTTTAGGCGCATTATTTATTTTTGTTGATGACAAATAATTAAAATATATTATTTCAAAGTGAATTTACTTGTTATTTTGATCAATATTAATTGAATGATTCGTTTGAAACTTTAAAATTTACTTAGTGGCGTACCCAGGAATTGGTTCTTAAGGGGCTTAGATTTGTGATTAAGGAGGGAGGGGGCTCAGGACTAGAAAAGGGCATCGTTTTTAAAGGAACAAAATTATTAGCGAGAAAGGGTATCATTCAGAGAAAAAAACGTATGATGGGTGAACGAAATGGATCGTTCAGAGAAATGTTAAAATGATCGTTTTTTTACTGAACGAACAAATTTTTCTTACAAACTTTTGAAAAAAACGATGGATTTTTAACTGAATGAATGATCTTTTTAACAAACGATATTACTAAACGATCGTTATCAGTGGGTAAACGTACGAAATAGATGAAAAATGAACGATAATTTCGAGAGCAAATGAAATCAAATTTTTGTTTTAATTTTTATTTTAACAAATTATTTGAATTATTTGTAATTTTCATTAAATATTTTAGTTTTCATTTCAAATATTTAGCTTAAATTTACTTTTTCAAAAATATTCTCAAATTGGACATTCATGCGTACTGTTTAAAAATAGATTTTTAAACATTTCTCTGAATCAATAATTTTAGTAAGCACTGAGTTGTTTTTTTACAAATATTAGGATAAGATAAAAATAGATACATACCGACTTTTACACTTGTGTCTGGTCAACAGTTGTTTTTCAATCCATACTTTGAGATTAAAGGGACTGTAAGCGTAATTTCAAGTAACCCTCCGTGCAAAGATGGCAATTTCTGATTTACAACGGTACCATTAAATCCTTTATTTAATTAAAAACGCGTAAGACACCTTCGTTTTTCTGAAAAAAAAATGTTTTAATTCTGTTATTTTCTCCGTTGCTTCTTATAAAGTCGCCGTTGTTCTTTGCATTGATCGGGTCACTTGAACTTACGCTTACAATCCCTTTAAGAGGGGAAATGTTGAACAGGGTGGGGAAAATGGGAGGGGGGGTTATAAAGGGAGGTAATAAAGGGGAAAAATGAGAAGAACACGAAGAAAATAATGTAAAGGAAGAAAGAGTAAATACAAGGAAAAGGGAATTGAAGAGAAAAAAAGAGGTTTAAGGATTGAACAAGAGGGGATAAGAGGTAGTTTAAGAAATTATGATTATTTTGAAGAAAAGGCAAAGAGAAAATAAGAAGGGAGGAATAACCCGGCCATGTGAGCCTCCAAGATTTTTTCTTCAGAACTGAGCCTCCAGTTTTAATAGAACTATTCGAAAAGGAAGTTATTCAGAAAATAGTTGTTTTGGACTTCAGCATGTTTTATAAAAAAAAGTATTACTTTAAATTAAAAAGTACATAAATTTTTTGATATCTTGGCTTGGCAAGGAAAGGAAGGCAACCCACCCATGTTTTCCTTCCGACCCACTATTTTCGTCATAAAGTGGATTGGCGGCATCGCACTTTCCCATATGGCTTCCGACCCACCTTTTTTTTTCTTCTGGTAAAATGTTTGTTCTTATAAATGTCAATTTTTGCCCTGAAATACTATTTTTAAGTCATAAAGGTGATGTCACGCAGATATAAATTTATCATTTAAACATTTTAACTTACATTTTGGAGGCAAAACTGGTGCAGGTTACCTTCCTTCCCTCGCTTGGCACTCTTTGGCAAATCTTTAATTCTTGAAGGTTCACGGCAGCCTCTTTGTCCCTCCCTCGTTTGGAGAGAAAGATCATAAAAATAAAAATTTATATTTTCTCTTTAAAGTACTCTATCTCTCTACCTTACCAACTAGTAAATATTGGAGACTTAGATAAGAGTTTAGTCTTTGTGAATAAACACCAATATACAGATATATTATTACAGATTCATTGAAAATTTTATATTTACCAATAAAGTTTCAACAAGAGCGTTGTGATATTGTTATTGAAAATGGCTGTAGTTCAGTCTGTAAACAGGGAGGAACAACCAGAGAAAATATATAGGGTATTGAGCATATTCTTTGAAGTACTCTCCCCCACCTCCTCCCCAATCCGAAAATCGAAAAAGTAAATGATTTGATTTCAAAGGTTTCAACATTGTTAAAAACAGGTCTACGTAATCTCATATATCGCTATTTCCTTCAGATTCTAAAGAAATCCGCGAATTTAACAATAAAAATCCGCAAGTTTCTTTTCGATGTGAGGGACACGTTGAATTACATATTTCTAGTTTTTGTTGTGTCATTCTTATTAATAATCTTTTGTTTTAAGGGCATGATGAAGAACCGAGGGCGGAGTCCCTCTGCCACCGCTACGCATGGCAGATTGGAGGCGAATATATCATCTCGCGGCGGACACAGTCCTCATTCAAGTGAAGCCGGAGACTTACCTCATTCGCCGAGGGACGTACTTTCCGTTAGAGATAGCCACACCCCAAGGGAAAGCCACACTTCACGGGATAGCCATACACCCCGTGAAAGCCACACCCCCCGTGAAAGCCACACCCACTCCCGCGAACCATCTTCTGTTAATTCCTCCCTAGCTGTTGATGAAGGAGGAATACAATACTCACCTAGTCACTCGGGTATAGTTGGATGGTGGGATAGTTGGATAGTTGGATAATTGGATAGTTGGATAGTTGGATAGTTGGATAGTTGGATAGTTGGATAGTTGGATAGTTGGATAGTTGGATGGTGGGATAGTGGGATAGTGGGATAGTGGGATAGTATGATAGTGGGATAGTGGGATAGTTGGATAGTGGGATAGTGGGATAGCTGGATAGTTGGATAGCTTGGATAGTTGGATAGTTGGATAGTTGGATAGTTGGATAGTTGGATAGTGGGATAGTTGGATAGTTGGATAGTTGGATAGTTGGATAGTTGGATAGTTGGATAGTTGGATAGTGGGATAGTGGGATAGCTGGATAGTTGGATAGCTGGATAGAATTTTTAACAATTTGTTTTCAGGTACTTTGGGAGACACCAGTGGTCTGGGATCAAACACTATCTGGTGAGTTTTCTATATATTCTATCTATCTATATATCTAATTCTATACTAGCTTGGGAAGGAACCCAGCGTTGCCAAGGTTACATATAGTTACTACCGCCTTTTACCTGCGCTTTGTCTTAAATTACGAATAACTTAGAATCACAAGACATTAACGTGGTTCTCCCGAGTTCCCCCAATCAAAATTTGAGGCAAATCGGTCAAAGGGTTCCTGAGTTATTATCTGACACACGAACAAAGTTTAAACTAACTGAGATTACTACTTTATATCTATATATCAATTTATCTGGGGAGCTGGGCTTTTGTGTGCTTAACCCCGTAGGTGGTCTAGGTCTCCCATGGGGGGGGGGGGGGTTAGATTTAACCTCTTTTTTCTTATCTATCTATTTTTCTAACTTTCTATCTAGGTATGATGAGCTAGATGCTAGTGGGGTAGGGTTAGACCCAGAAAGAAAACAAAAATCCTTAGGACAGATTCAGGTATTGAGGGATACAGGGACATACACTGAGATACAGGAGGATACAGGAGGATACGGGGGAAACAGGGGGATACACGGGGATACAGGAGATACAGGGGGATACAGGAGGATACACGGGGATACAGGGGCATACACTGAGATACAGGAGGATACACGGGGATACAGGGGATACAGGGAACACAGGGGGATACACGGGTATACAGGGGGATACAGGAGGATACACTGGGATACAGGGGGATACAGGAGGATACACTGGGATACACTGGGATACACGGGGATACAGGAGCATACACTGAGATACAGGAGGATACACGGGGATACAGGGGATACACTGGGATACACGGGGATACATGGGGATACAGGAGGATAAACTGGAATACAGGTGGGATACATATAAGGTGCAAGGTTTCAGGTTACAGGTATCGGTACGGGGGTGCGTAGTGCCCTGAAGGCAGTCTGGGGGTTCCACATTGGGTTCCCTGTCAATTTTTTGCTTGATTTGATTTGATTTAATTTGATTTGATGCAGGGATACAGATACATGAAAGGGGGGGATACAAATACAGGAATACAGAAAGATAAAGAAAAAAAGGATATAGGGGGATAATGATCGAAGAAAAGAACGAGGAAATGGTTGGTTAGGTTGATTTATTGATTAGTTGCTTGATAAATTGATTGATTGACTGCTTGATTTATTGACTGATTTTTTAATTGATTAGTTAAATGATTATTTGTTTGATGGCTTGCGTTATTTATTGATAGATTAGCTAATTGATAAAATGATTTATTGGCGGATGGCTGGACTGAATATTACATAGAAGCTTTTAAAGGGTACAGTATTGTATCGAGCATTTTCTTCTTTCCATGGAGGGTAACTTGAAATCACGCCTACGGTCCATTAAAGGAAAATTATATATTGATATAACAAAATAAATATTATTTTTGTTTAGACTTTCCAGCAGTGCTGACAAGCAGCAGTTGGCGAGGATCAAACAGGTTTTTGAGAAGAAAAACCAGAAATCCGCGCAGAACATTGCACAGCTACAGAAAAAACTAGAAAATTATCAAAGAAAGGTGGTAAAATAAATTAAATAACAAAAAAGAGATCTTTATTGATAATTTTTTTAACATTTAATATATGTGATATAAATATTTTCAAATATGTTTTCAAGAACAAAAAAAATCAAAATTGAACATCCAAAGATAAGTTTTTTCATCCTATTTGATACTTTTTTACCCCAAAATTCATTTATTCTCCCCAGTACAGCAAATATAACCTTAAATATTGGGTAAGGGGAAATGATTTTCAAAGAGGGTGGGGAGTGAAACTATTTTTTCAAGAAAATAAACATCCCTGCACTGATCTTAATGTCAAGTGAACCTCTATTTGTAGCGTGGCATGTCCGATTCACAAAGNTACTGTCAAGAAATGGTTAATTTTTGGTTTAAAAATTATTATATTTTGGTTTTAAAATGGTTATATTTTTGGTTTAAAATCGTTATATTTTGGTTAAAAAGTGGTTATATTTTTGGTATGAGAAATGGTTATATTATTTGTAGAAAATTTTTTATATTTTTGGTAAAGCATGGTTATATTTTAGGTAAAAAAATGGTTACAGTTTTGTTTAAAAAATGGTTACATGTTTGGCTCGTTATATTTTTAGTGGTTATATTTTCCCCGCTCATCAACCTACTGAACAATCGATTAATAAAAATTAATAGATTAATCAATTAATCAATCAATCCAACAACCAATCAATTATTCAATTAATAAATCAATCAATCAATAGACCAATTAATCAATCAATATTTAGGCTCGCGATATTGAGCAGTACGGAAGCGTGTCCGGGAAACAACCAATTCTAAAGGTAAAACACATTTTAATTAAGTATAAAAAATTCAAATTAATTGTAGGTGTACTTGTAGTATATTAGAATATTTAAGTAATATCTGACATTTCAAAATAAAATCTAAGATAGTAAAAAGAACAATAATGCTTAAAGGGACTGTCGTCATGATTTTAAGTGACCCTCCGTTAAAAATGGCATGTCCAATTCACAACGGTACTGCTTAAACCTTAATCTGATAAATATTGTGTAAGAAAATGTCTTTTTGCTGGTTTTAAGTGTGTTTAATTCTATTTTTTCCCATTAATTTGAAACAAGAAATGCCCAAGTCACTTTTGCAGAGAAACCACAACTGAAAATGAACAGTTTTCTAGTTTTCGAAAGCAAAAACATGGATATCTAGTTAATAGTTGAAGACAAAAATGTAATGGGTATCGTGATGACTCGGACATGCCACTATATCAATGGAGGTTTACTTAAAATTAGGTCTATAGTCCCTTTATCCATTAACCAATGTATTGGATAAAGGGCTAACATTTACATGCAGGACATGCAGTGCTCAGAGTAAAAAGTAATGCCCCGTAAAATTCTGAAAATGTTGTCTTCTTTACCAAGGTTGTCGGTCTCGGGATAAAAACGGTTGGTGGCGGGGTGGTGGGAACTCTATCTAAACCAAAGGTGAAACTAAATTTCTATTAATTTACTTTTAAAAATGATTTACCCAGGGTTGCATATTTTTATGAATTACCCCTCTCCCTATCCCGGAGGGGGACATAATTTTGATAATCTGGGGGAAAAAGAAAAAATGGAAATGAAAACTTTAAATGTCTAACTTTTAATTAAAAAAAAAAAGTTTTTTTAAAAAATTGATACTTTTTAATCAAGAATTCAGTTATTTTTCAGGGGCTTTCAGATCTCTTTCCTGATACTGATACAAAATAAGCATTTTGATTAAGTGGTCGATTGTCAAATAAGCAGGGGCGGATACAGGGTGGGGGGCGGCAGGACCTTCGAACCCCCCTGAGATTTCAGAATCAATTCTCACTTAAGGGAAGAAAACCCTAGTGCAAAGTAGGCAGAATATCTATCTTTAAAAAAAATTCCCTGCGGCACGTCTTTTTGTTCCTATATCTGGATTTTTTTGTTCCGAAATAAATCTAGTACCCCTCTCCTTAAATCCTGTATCCGCCCCTGCAAATGAGGCATATGTTAGCTAATATATTAGCAAAATAATTGCTATTGCATGAAACACAGTGTAGTGCGGGTTGGCAATAGTTTACCAATCTGGCAAAAAAAAATCGATCAAAACAGTTTTTTTTAGGAATTTGCTCATTTGATCAGAAATAAGTTTGGAAGTGTGGATAACATTCCCTCTCATATACCAAAGGTAAAATTTTGACAACTTTTAAAGAAAACATTAGAAAAAAATTAGCTACTTTCTGTGAAGTTTAATTTCTACATTCAGTTTAAAATGATGTTTTTGTACAAATATTGTTTACATTTCTACATTTATTTTATCTAAATAATTTCAATTATTTTTTGTTTATTTTTAACAATTTTTTTATTATTTTAAAAGAATAATACAAAATTATTTTAGTAATATTACAGTATTCCATTATTAGCCACTTTGAGATTCTTGGCACCCCAAATTTATTTTTGATATTTTCAAAATAATCAGCATTAGAAATAGTTTATACATTCTTCTTATAAGTTTGAGTTTTGGAGAAAATATGCACTCATGAACGAGAACATATACACCCATAAACGGGAAAATGTACACCCCTGAACGAGAAAATTTACACCCTGAACGAGAAAATATACACCCCTGAATGGGGAAATATACACCCATGAATGAGAAAATATACACTCCTGAACGAGAAAATATACACACATGAACGAGAAAATATACACCCATGAACGAGAAAATATACACCACTGAACAGGATAATATACACCCCTGAACGAGAAGAAAGATANAATAAGAAATAATAGTTGTTTGTTTCAGTTATGTAAAAGTTAAATATCTGAACGAGAAAATATACACCCCTGAATGAGGAAATATAAACCCCTGAACGAGAAAATATACACCCCTGAACAAGAAAATATACACCCCTGAACGAGAAAATATACACCCCTGAACAAGAAAATGTACACCCCTGAACGGGGAAACGAATAAAAACAGCAACACGATGGCAAATGTTGTTAGGCCTGCACTGGAGAGAGCGCTAAAGGCTGAGTTTTTTGGAACTTTTTTAAAGTAATTTTTTACCAAATTGTGTTTTTTAAGGAGAGGGATGATGATGAGAGAAGAAGTCATCATGGTTCCGCCTCTCTACCAAGAGAAGGTTATTCTTATTTTTTATCAAAATATTACCTTATTCAATACTAGCTGTAGTGCCTGACGTTGCCCGTGGTATGTTTTATAAAACGAATTTAGAAAAAAATATCTGCTTTTGAAGAAAAAAACGAATTTTTTACCCCCTCGGTACTCAAGGGTTCCCTCAAAGAATGTTATTTGGTCCAGCCGGCTTCAGATGTTTGGCCAGCTGACATGAATATATAAGTATATATGGGCAAAGAGCTTTATTATATAGATTGTTTTAGGAAGCTATGCCTTATATCAGTGCTCAGGATTTGGATCCATTGGATCAGCTACATTTTGCCTTTATGCAAATCCAGATCCGCAAAATATGTGGATCCACGGATACGGATCCAAGGGGCAAAAATACTGCTTCTTGTTTTAAAAACACAAATCACAACTGTTGAAAAATGAGTAATTATTAAAAATGTCCTTATCTCTGAATTGTTAAATAAATAAAAAAGTGAAAACAAAGAAATTTTTTTTTTTTAATTATTCTTTTGCTGAAAAAAAATCAGTAAATCCAGAATTCAGAATCCGTATCCGTATAAATTTAAAGTGGATCCTAAGCACTGCCTTATATGATGCTAAAACAATTGTTAAAAAAATTTAGACTTAGAGTAAGAACTAGGAAAAAAGTGTTCAAAAAAGGGATCAATGGATAATACCCCTGTTGCCACTATTCTGTTGACACCCTGTGCAGTCATGTCGTCGTTTTTGTTACACAACCAATTTCCTTCGTTCTCTGGTTCGAATAAAAAATCCAATAAAAAAAATCATTAAAAAAAATATTAAACAGAAAATGTGCGAAATCTGTGAAGGTCTGGTTAGTGGTTAGTCCGCCCAGAGGCCGACTTAAAAGAATTTGAACTGCGTTTAGACGCGGTTCAAACATGGTTGGTTCCACTTGAGAATATATAATCAATGTTTCGAGATTCAAGCCGGCGCTCGGTTTGAACCAGTTATTGGCGGTTCAGCGACGCTGCTCAAATTCTTTAAATTTGGCCTTGGGTTTTGTTCTGTCAATGACCCCTGTATGAAGATTGTATTCGGGTGAAGAATTACCCCCATGATGAGGAGTGATTTTGTTGATCTGGGAGTAAAATTAGAATTGGGACTTAAATAAGTTTTTCCACACCTTTTTGATACTTTTTTGATTACATTTACACATTTGTGTGTTGTTCAGGTTCTACCCGGGGATCAGTTCTCAGTGATAAAATAAGACTGACCTCCCTAGAGGTTTGTTCTTTTTAATTAAAGGGACTGTAAGCTTAAATTCAAGAATCCCTCTTTCCAATGGCTACCTTGAAAGGTCTGTTTGATCAAATGATAATCCATATTTGTGTTTATTTTCATTTCCAATTTCTCTGCAAAAGTGACGTGCTAAAAAAGAAACAATGGAGAAACTCACAGAAATAAAAACTTCATGAGTCAAAAAAATTAGGGTATCTTATACATTTTTTGATCAGATAAAGGTTTCAAGGGTGCCGTTGTAAATCGTGCATTGCTTTCTTTGCATGGAGGGTCACTTCACTTATGCATGCAGTTCCTTTAGGTCTTTTCTTCTCTTTTTTTTTTATTTTCATTTTTTTATCGAAACTGGTCAATCTTTGATCTTTCTCCCTTGTTTAATTGTTCCTATTTTTTATTTTATGTTTTCCACTCAGTTTTCCTTTCTGTTTTCCTCACTGTTCTCCTCTCTGGTTTCCTCTCTGTTTTCCTCTCAGTTTTCTCTCTGTTTTACTCTCAGTTTTCTCTCTGTTTTACTCTCAGTTTTCTCTCTGTTTTACTCTCAGTTTTCTCTCTGTTTTACTCTCAGTTTTCTCTCTGGTTTCCTCTCTGTTTTACTCTCAGTTTTCTCTCTGTTTTACTCTCAGTTTTCTCTCTGTTTTACTCTCAGTTTTCTCTCTGTTTTACTCTCAGTTTTTTCTCTGTTTTACTCTCAGTTTTCTCTCTGTTTTACTCTCAGTTTTCTCTCTGTTTTACTCTCTGTTTTCTCTCTGGTTTCCTCTCAGTTTTCTCTCTGTTTTACTCTCAGTTTTTTCTCTGTTTTACTCTCAGTTTTCTCTCTGTTTTACTCTCTCTGTTTTACTCTCTGTTTTCTCTCTGGTTTCCTCTCAGTTTTCTCTCTGTTTTACTCTCAGTTTTCTCTCTGTTTTACTCTCTGTTTTTCTGTCTCTATCTATCTATTTATCTTTCTATCTAACTATCGATTTATCTATCCATCTATCTATCTATTTATCTTTCTATCTAATTATCAATTTATCTTTCCATCTATCTATCTATCTATCAGGATCCTGTTCATCTTGGCAGTGATGATGCTCGGTCTGTCCCCCGGACATCTAGTTCAATTACTTCCAGTGAGAGGGGGGGAGAAGAGTTACCGGGACAGGTATTTCAAGGGTGGAGATTCCGGGACTGATTTTTCAATTTTTTATATTAACAATTTTTTGAAGAAAAATTGAATTATTAATTGATTTTACACATTAAAACGGGATAGTACAACAAATAAATTCTCTGCTTCTTGTAAGATTATTATGGAATGCACTTTAGACAATCCAATTCATTTATGAACCATAACCATGGCCATGATCAAGGCGATGACCATAAGTCATGACCAATGACCATAATCAATGGTCATGACTAATGACCATAATCAATGGTCATGACCAATGACCATAGCCAAGGCGAATACCATGACAAAGACGAGGACCACTATCAACGACTCATTACCATCATCCTATGACTGTGACCATGACCATGACCAGATGACTATGACTGTAACCAATGTGACCATGACCATGACCATGACCATGACCATGACCATGACCATGACCATGACCATGACCATGACCATGACTATGAACAGGACGGTGACCGTGACCATGACCATGACCTTAACCATAACTATGACCATGACTGACCATGACCATGACCATGACCATGACCATGACCATGACCATGACCTTGACCATAACTATGACCATGACCATGACTTTGACCATAATTATGACCATGACTGACTATTACCATGACTATTACCATGACCATAATTATGACCATGACCATGGCCCCCCCCGGGGGGCCGGCCGATTGGATTTTGCCTTGGGGGGGATCATGACCATGACCATGACCACAACCACGACCACGACCACGAACACGATAACGACCACGACCACGACCATGACCCCGACCACGACCCTGACCCCGACCACGACCATGACCATGTTGATGTCCAGGATGCCGAATTATCTCCCCGGAATTCTGGAACCCGAAACCTTGGTCTTAATGCTCTCATGTCCGAGATATCCAATCTCAGGTTCGGATAATTATTTCTTTTTCTAAAATCAAATTATTTTTTAAATAGGGAAGCCGCCATATGGCCTTCATTTCTTCTTGATAATTTCTCAATAACATATTTTTATCGTTATGCATTTACATAGCTTTTTTGTTTCATAATTTATTGTTACTTAGTTATTATTTTATTTTTTCATATTGTCTAAATACACAGATTTTATATCTATTTTTTATATCTTTTCTCCAAAAGTTAAAATTCTTGTGCCTGACAATATTTCACCCTGTACTTGTTCCTGACAATATTTCACCCTGTACTTGAGGGACTTTAAGCGTAATTTCAAGTGACCTCCATGCAAAATTGGCAATGTCTGATTCCCAACCTTTATCTGATCAATAATGTAAAAGAAATTTCTAGGTTCAAAATTGTTTAATTCTAATTAATTTCAATTTTTCCTGCAGTAGAAAACCCAGGATTGAAAATAATCTGTTTTCCAAATCGTAAACTTTGATATCTAATGTATACTTGATCAGACAAACCTTTTAAAGGTATTGTTGTTGTAAATAGGGCATTGCCATCTTTGCATGAAGGATCACTTGAAATCACGTTTACAGTCCCTTTAATGCTTTTAATTCCATTTTAATTTGAAGAGAGGAGACAGAAAGATTACGAGAAGAGCTGGAGGAGCAAAGGCAGCAGTTTAAACAGGTTTAAATATTTTCCTTTGAATCTTTGGCCATCAATGTAAAAGCTCAGATTCGGGTTTTAATTCCCTAGGCCCGGGTTTAAGGCTTCATCTTAGATCCAATGATTCAGTGATCAACAACTGCCAGCCCTTAAACTCAACTTACAGACTTAGACTTTATCATAATAAAACCGACCTTGGTTGGTTTTAGCAGAGAATTAGTCTCATGTTGAGTCTTATTCTAATCAAATCCCGACATCCGCCAATTCCAACCATGAAAATCTACAAAATACTACATTAAACCGGTTTGATAAATCCATCTCTGTGGAAAATCAGTAGCAACTTTTCCCAAAGTTTTTGTCTTAAATTAGTCCCATCATTTTAATGTTCATTAACATCATAAATATTATTATTAGAATCTTAATTATTATTTTTATTGTCACTGTTATTATTACCATTTTAATGATCATCATCATTATTAATATTATTATCAGGATCTGTACTGTTATTATTATTATTTTAATGAGCATCATCATCATTAATATTATTACCAGGATCTTTATTATTGATATTATCTATTTTTTAAATTATTATCATCATATATATTATTATTAGAATCTGTGTTATTATTATTATTGTCACTGCTATTATTATTATTTTAATGATCATTATCATCATATGTTTTACTATCAGGAGCTTGATTATGTGACTTCTCAACTCCGTGAAGACCGATTTAGAACTGATAGGTATGAATTTATGTCTGGATATATGTAGATATTTATTGTGAATATTATAAAATAAAATAATGTTCATGTGCTCTAATTAATATTTATATAAAATTGAATTCTATCATCATTTACTATTTATTAGCTAATTAATTAAATAACTTTTTTGATTCATTGTATCATTTGAATAGAATAAGAAATAATAGTTGTTTGTTTCAGTTATGTAAAAGTTAAATATCTAAATAATTGATAGATTGATAACTTGAATACATTGATTAAATACATTGATTGATTGATTGATTGATTGATACATTGATACATTGATTGATTAAATTAATGTTTAGACTGGAAGAGCAGATTAACGACCTGACTGAGCTGCATCAGAATGAAATGGAGAATATCAGGTTAAACCTCTATTATAAATCTATCGTTATAAAAACATAAATTCTGTTAATTTTCTTCCTCGTCTCTAGTACATAAGTCAGAAAGTTCGTATCTTGTTGAAATGGCATAAGAATCCTATTTTCAATTTTCAGATAAAAAAACAAGGACATTTTCATCATTTCTGGTGTAAAGGGTAGTCTTTAAATTGTAAATACTTTGATTGTTCCTTAAAGGCTGTTTTTATACAGGGGTCGGCGATTATACAGGCTGCAGACTGCATGTTGATGCTCTGCACCCTGAGGGCTGTCTGGGGGTTCCATGTCGGGTTCCTTTTCAGATCTTATAATTATTTATTTATTTATACTAACTTTATGGATTCTCTGAAGTTTTTATGTACATATAATAGAGACAGGCCCCACAATTTGGAATTCTTTACAATAAAGAAATTGTATGTTAACTGGTTTTTATACATCATACTAAGAACAAAATTACNTTCTCTCTTTTTCCTTTCTTCTTCATTCTTTTTCCCTAAAACCAATGAAAGCTCATATTTTTGCCCCCCCCCACCCTCCGGGGATGGGCAAGCAAAAAATATACACCCCTGAGGTTATATCAATAAAATAAAGACGACTTTTTACTAATACTGCTTTGATATGTAACAAGCCTTTTTCAAATTACGAGTTAAAAGTAAATCAAGTAAAGTCAAAATCGGAAAAAGAAAGTCGTCTTCATTGTATTTATTTATATACGAGGGTGACTAAATATATATATATTTTGCCAAATTTTTTATTTTTTAAATTGTTGCTTTAGATCCGGAGTTACGGATATGGAGGAGAAGGTTCAATATCAAAGTGAGGAAAGACTTAGAGATATTCAGGTTTGTTACGTAAAGTTATATAAAATTTGTACTTAAAGTTACATAAAATTACATAAACTTACGTGAAGTTACTTAAAGTTACATAAAGTTACTTAAAGTTACATAAAGTTACATAAAGTTACACATAAAGTTACATAAAGTTACAAAAAAGTTACATAAAGATAAACAAATTTACATAAATTACGGGGAGTTATTTAAGTGTTGTTAGGTTAGGTTAGGTTATTAAGATATATTATTTATGTTATGTTTTACCATATGTTATGTTGTGTACCTTGATCTACCCTATATTGTGTTTTGCCAGGCTATATTGAACCAGGATATACATTACATTACATCATCTTACATTATATTATGTACAATGAGTTATGTTATGCTACTTTTAGTCATGTTACAATGATTTCTATGAAACTATTGTGTACTTAATTACTTATGGTACATTTCATTGTAGACGTGCTTTAAAGTTGAATTATAGCTGTATATATAGTAGCATGCTGCTATAATGTGTCATTGGTTTTCAGATGTTCTTCAGAAAATTTAGAATATTTCTAGAAAAAAATTTTTATTTCAATGAAAATAAAATTAAAATTAACTTTTATTTTTTTTAACTTAACTTTAACTGAGTTAATTCATTGGAACTTAACGGAAGGGAGTTCAAGTCTGAAATCTTAGAATTATTATTATTTTTGTTATTAGTATTATCATTTTAAGTTTTGTTAAATAGATTATAATAATAATGTTATAAAGTGTCAGAACTTAAATTTTCACGAAAGCTCGGGACAAAATATAATCTAAAAAGGATAAAGAGAGCTTATCTGTTCAAAAACTTCATAGCACTGCGAAACAAAATAATATTGTTACAAATAGTTATCATGGCATGTTACGTTGAAATATGTTTGGGTTAGGATCAGCTGTCTGGCCTAGAAACCAAGATATCAAGGATGGAGCATCAAGCAGCACAGCATCAGCAGTATGTAACATTTGAGGTCAGTCGCCATTTTCTTTTGTCATATCATTTCATCCCACATCAAATTATTTCTCTTATTCTTTTACCTAGTTTATGTAGCCTCAATACTAATGAGCTAACATAATTTCTTTTTAATTTAAAAAAAGAAAACTAGCTCCCGTGCATGTATTTTGAAAACATGTACAAAGTTATGTTTAGCACTTTCTAATATGCGACAACACAAACCGTGTTTGCAATATCTCTCAGCCTTATTTCATACAGATATACTATCCTATTATAAATAATGTAGTTTGTTTTTTCTCTTGAACTGCTGCCTTATCAATACTTGAATATAAATGTATCATCAATTTTGGCAAGAAAAAAAACAATAAAATGCATCCGTAATTGACTCCTTCTTAATTTATTTATAAATGTATGTACACGATATTGTTGTAAAATAGTTTTATTTAATCCATGTAAACAATTTTGTACAACTAATATAATCTCGATACGGAGATAATAAATATCTAGATCTCAAAAAAAATTATTTCTCAATTTGATTGATTTTCAGGGACTAGAAAACTCCAATGCTCGAGCCTTGGTTGTGAAAGCAATAAATATTCTGCTAACCCTACTCCAGGTCGGTTTTTTACTAAAAGCAAATGTCCTTGTTGCAATTTTTTTATTTTCCCGTCAGATTTCAATTTCCCGCTGTCTTTTTAGGTTGTTTTGTTACTCCTTGAGACTGGGGCCCAGATACTGAAACCGTTTTTAAAAACTCCCACAAGGATGGTAACTACCCTACTCTTAGGTAACCAGGATTAGTCATAGTTCTTTTCTAGTCCTTTTTATTAAAAATCTAAAATTTTTTGTTTCAGTGACTGTCATTATTTTGGCAATTAGACAGTGGACCGAGCTCTCAACTCTGGCAGTAGGACGCCCTAAAGATTTAAAGAAACAAGATTTGTAGTATTGACATTTATAAAAATTTTCATAAATTTGTCATTTCAAGGTTTGCCAAAAATCAGAACTTTTCTGGAATTTTAAATTTCCAACTTCGTAAGTTCTGAATAGTTTTTTATTCACAATATGTTACTTTAATAGTTTTAGCAGATTGAAAAACCAATCCCTCTGAACTGAAAACCAAATTTTGGAACTAATAAAAAACCAAGAAAGATAAAGTTCAGTCTTTACTCTAAAAAGTTTTTCTTCAAATTGACTAAAAATTCTTGTTGGCTCGGCATTAAACAAAGCATGTACTGTACCAAAACTTTGTTACCTTAAATGAAAGTCTTTCTCCTTAAAAAAAAACAGGTTGTAATCACTAATCATTGAAATTGCTTGTATAAAATTTATACAACTAAATTCTTGACAAAACTGAATCAGGGGTGTTTTTCTTTTAGTAAACTTTTAACTTATAAGTAGAAAATTTTAAACGTTTGGCAAAAATTAGTTCGGACAGTGTTTGTCAATATCCTGGGTTTGGACTAAACTCGTTGAGGTTGCACTCCCTCCCTTGTTGAACTAGTGAGGTTGCACTCCCTCCCTTGTTGAACTAATGAGGTTGCACTTCCTTGTTGAACTAGTGAGGTTGCACTCCCTCCCTTTTTGAACTAATGAGGTTGCACTCCCTCCCTTGTTGAACTAGTGAGGTTGCACTCCCTCCCTTGTTGAACTAGTGAGGTTGCACTCCCTCCCATGTTGAACTAATGAGGTTGCACTCCCTCCCTTGTTGAAATAGTGAGGTTGCACTCCCTCCCTTGTTGAACTAATGAAGTTGCACTCCCTTGTTGAACTAGTGAGGTTGCACTCCATCCCTTGTTGAAATAGTGAGGTTGCACTCCCTTGTTGAACTAATGAGGTTGCACTCCCTTGTTAAACTAATGAGGTTGCACTCCCTCCCTTGTTGAACTAGTAAGGTTGCACTCCCTCTCTTGTTGAACTAGTAAGGTTGCACTCACTCCCTCGTTGAACTTAAGCTTTTTAACTGATGTACTCAAGAACATATTGTAAGAAGCAGTTGCTACTCTATTTTCATTATCTCTAGTTACAAAGACAACAAAAACGTTTTTTAAAACAATGCTATAATGTTATTTTTAGTTAATATTATAAAGTAGTGTTAGTTTTATATATTTTCATTAAACCCAAAAAGCCCTTATTATCTTTAGATATGCATTCTGGGGTGTATTTGAAGAATTGGGTTGGGGGGGGGGGGGGGGGGGAAGAAAACCTTCAGGGTGAAAAAAGTTGTGACTATGAGGCCCTTTTTTGCTTCAAGTTTCGGAGGACATATATAATGTATTCTCTTACTTTAAATCTGCATACCTTAAACAAATACCTTTTTAAATAAACTTACTAGAATAATTATTATTGCAACCTATTCACCAAATAATGTTCCGTAAAATCTACGTAAAGTTTGGTTTTTTATGTACCAGTAGTAATTTACAAAATTTCTTAAATGTGGAGGCATATTTTTGTAAGACCTGGGACGGAAGTTGAGCTTGGTCGCTGAACACTAACTAGTATCGATTCAAATATTTAGCTGTAGTTCTGCAGTGTATGTTGTTTACATCTTTAGGATACAGGATCCGATACATGATAACTACACTGCAGAACTTCATTCAAGTATTTGAAGCGACATTAGGAAATATCAAAATCAATTTACTTTTATAGATTGTGGAATCTATTAACAGAATAATCAAATATATCACATTTATTGTGGACATTTTTAAATATGGAAACATTAAAGTGTTGGCCAGAGTTTTTAATTAGAATTTCTTTTAAGGTTAAGGCTTAAGAAAAATTAAAGAGACCGAACCCTTTAAAATTAGAATTCACTACATTCAATTTTTTCAACAATTTTATAATAGATATAATTCTTAAAAGAGTTCTTAGACTTTCCGCGTAACAATTTATTAAAAGTTAAAAAAACCCTTGCCATATCTTTTCAATACTTTAAACCCATGTAGTTGATATTTTTAAAATATAATATTATTGTCACTTGTTGATTCACTTTATTCTGTTGAAACTCTAGTTTTTGTAATTTTCATAAAATAAATATTTTCATGAGCTTTAAACAAAGGCGTGTATTGAGGACAAAGGGGGGGGGGCAATACTGAGCCAAACCAGGCAAGATATATTGTGCTGAGCGTGCAGACACATTGTGAGGAAGTTGCTCGTATTTTCTGTCCTTTTGTACCCTACTATATGCCAAACTCAAGGACTAAATAATATAATGAAGCCCACTGTTTATTGTTATGTATTACTCTCTGAAGTTCTAAGAATTGTTAGTCCTCATCCCTGAATATCCTCTCCTCTAATAATGTTTAGTCTAATGTTACCTCTCCCCCTCCAGGGGGTTGCAGGAATACTTGTCCCCACACTTGCGTTATGCACATATAGTGAGAAACATTGTGTTTTCGAAAGGTAAGACGACTTTCAGATTCAAATTATGATTTCAAATAATCCTGTACACGAGACCCAGTTATTGTACAGTGTGCATAGAATTTTATATTTAATCTACTAAAAGACAATTTGAAAGTCATAAAAAAAGAATTTTTAAGGTGATTTTTGAAAATTTTCTAAAGATTTTGGAAAAAACGAGCGTTTTTTAGCTGAAGGAACGATTGTTTGAAACAAATTTACAGAAAACGATAATTTTTACTGAAGAAATGATTCTGCTGAACAAAAAAATGTTACTGAACAATTGTTTAACGAGAAAATCAACGAAATAGATGGAAAATAAACTAATTATGAGAAGAACGAAAAAACTTTTTTACATAACAATTAAAAAAAAACTAATGAACTGTGTCGTTTACGAACAATGAACGATCGCAATAGAAAAAGTTGAACGTGCCATGCTCTAGATTCATTTGGTAAACTTTCCTATTTTGCATTCTAAAGTCTGTGTCCTGTATACTGAACAAATATTTTAGCAAATTGGAAGGAAAAATTATCGGCATTGCTTTGCATCCAGTCTTTGTTCATATATTGTACACAGTGTCCAAATAAACATGGGAATAAAATGACGACTTCTATATCGTCTTTGTTCCATTTGGGATTTTCTCGTAAACATAATTTTGTAGTATCACAGTTAAAACATTTAATGCCGAAAACTACGGATTTTTTAAAATATTGTCCACACCAGTTTTTCTCTTTCAACATTGACGGAGACTATAGGAAATTTGTCCAGATTCCAGTTTAAAATCAACAATACTGTTTAATTGTGTGATATCTTCGTCAATATCCAATTTACAAAGAAGGTAGACCACATTTTGGAAAGCTCATTTGATTTTAAATAATTTTTTGATACACTTTAGACATGTTATTTGATAGGTTCTTCTATACTAGGTTCTACTGTACTATGTTCTATTGTACTAGGTTCTTCTGTACAAGGTTCTACTGTACAAGGTTCTAATGTACTAGGTTCTACTGTATTAGGTTAACCTGTACTAGGTTCTACAGTTCTAGATTAAATTTTACTAGGTTCTACTGTACTAGTTTCTACTGTACTTTGTTCTACTGTACTGGGTTCCACTGTACTAGGTTCTACATTACTAGGTTGAATTTTACTAGGTTCTATTGAACTAGGTTCTACTGTACTAGGTTGTACTGTACTAGGTTGTACTGCACTAGGTTGTACTGTACTATGTTCTACTGTATTAGGTTCTACTGTACTAGGTTCTACTGTAATAGGTTCTACAGTAAAAGGTTCTACTGTATTAGGTTCTACTGTACTTAGTTCTACTGTACTAGGTTCTACTGTACTAGGGTCTACTGTACTAGGTTCTACTGTACTAGGTTCTACTGTACTAGGTTCTGCTGTACTAGGTTCTACTGTACTAGGTTCTACTGTACTAGGTTCTACTGTACTGGGTTCTACTGTACTAGGTTCTACTGTAATAGGTTCTACTGTACTAGGTTCTGCTGTACTAGGTTCTACTGTATTAGGTTCTACTGTACTAGGTTCTACTGTACAAGGTTATACTGTACTAGGTTATACTGTACTAGGTTATAATACTGTACTAGGTTCTACAGTACTAGGTTCTACTTTACTAGGTCGAATTTTACTAGGTTCTACTGAACTAGGTTTTCTGTTACTAGGTTCTACTGTATTAGGTTCTACTGTACTAAGTTTTACTGCACTAGGTTCTACTGTACTAGGTTCTGTTGTGCTAGGTTCTATTGTACTTTGTTCTGCTGTACTAGATTCTGCTTTACTAGGTTCTACTGTACTAGGCTCGACTGCACTAGGTTCTACTGCACCAGGTTCTACTGCACTAGTTTCTACTGTAATAGGTTCTACTGTACTAGGTTCTACTGTACTAGGTTTTACTGTACTGGGTTCGCCACATGATATTTCAAACAGTGGGTCAGTTTGTTAAACTCCATTTAAATTTAGGCTCCATATTGATCAATCAGATTGCTCGGGACACTTTAAATAGTCCCAAAAGGCAAATCTGAAGAAAAGCACATTTTATCTTTGACAAATAACCTTCGAAGAATCTAAAATTATCTTACCCAGATTTTCCTGACAAACTAGAATGAGAAAAAAAAACAAGAATTCAGTTTCCAGCAATTACTGGAGTTTTAAGCAATAACTGCTATATCACCTTCTTTTACATAAACCTTCTTACTTCTCAACTCTGGTGTTTCATAGATATTATACTTTCCCAGGTACTTGAATTCATGTATAGTTGCCTGTATATTACTTAATTAACTAACTACCTAATTACCTACCTAACTACCCACCTACTTAACTACCCTAATACCTACCTACCTTACTACATTACTACCTACCTACCTGCCTATCTACCTACATAATTACCTATCTACCTACATACCTACTTAGGTACTGGAATGCTAGTGCTAGACCATGCCAAAGAAACAGTAAACAAACTTGCCCAGGTAAAAAGGGATTTTTTTTTCAATTTTGAATAAAATAATATAAAACACTGCATATTATATAAAAACTGAATAATATTCTATCTAAACAATTGTAGTAAAAGTTCTTAAAATCCATTTTTTTTAAACTTTAATTTCAAAAATTTTGGGTTCTTTAAGAGGCCTGAAAGTTTTTTCATACAACACAAATGCTTTTTGCAAGTTGTGAAATAGGTTATATTAACTAGAATCGTTTTTTGTTTTTGATGTTTTGTTAATATAATATTAGAAATCTTGAGAATACAGTTTTAAAGATTATTAATCAATGCCACAAAAATATCTAGCAACTCTGTTTTGTATATTTCCTAAATAATGCTTTTTTATGGAATTTGAATCCTGCGTGATCATAAACCATGGCCATATGAGGTCCCACAAAATGTTTGGCCATTTTAACAATATCTGTAGATTGTGATTTTCCATAGAAAATTTTTGTTTTTTAGACAGATTCTCAACCTTCTTCACTTTTGACATGGTCTGTCCTTTTCTGTTTTTAACAGGTAACCATCCAATTCTGTTTGCTGGGAAGGTATCTATCCAGTTCTGTTTGCTGGGTAGTTACCCACCCAAATCTATTTGCTGGTTAGGTACCCATCTACTTATGTTTTATGGAAATGTATCCATCCAGTTCTGTTTGCTGGGAAGGTACCCATCCAGTTATGTTTGCTGGGGAAGGTACCAACCAAGTTCTGTTTATTGGAAAGGTACCCACCCAGTTCTGTTTGCTGGGAAGTTAACCATCCAGTTATGTTTGCTGGGGAAGGCACCAACCCAGTTCTGTTTGCTGGGGAAGGTATCAACCCAGTTATGTTTGCGGGGAAGGTACCCATCTAGTTCTGTTTATTGGAAAGGTACACATCCAATTCTGTTCGCTGGGAAGATACCCATTCAGTTATGTTTGCTGGGAAGGTACCAATCCAGTTATGTTTGCTGGGAAGGTACCAACTCTGTTCTATTTGCTTGGAAGGTATCCATCCAGTTCTGTTTGCTGGGAAGGTACCCATTCAGTTATGTTTGCTTGGAAGGTACTCATCCAGTTATGTTTGCTGGGAAGGTATTCATCCAGTCATGTTTGCTGGGAAGGTACCTATCCCGTTATGTTTGCTGATAAGGTATTCATCCAGTTATGTTTGCTAGGAAGGTACCTATCCTGTTATGTTTGCTGGGAAGGTACCTATCCAGTTATTTTTGCTGGGAAGGTACCTATCCAGTTATGTTTGCTGGGAAGTACTCATCTAGTTTCGTTTGCTGGGAAGGTACCTATCCTTTTATGTTTGCTGGGAAGGTACTTATCCCGTTATGTTTGCTGTTGTTTCTTTGTTTATTCATATGAAAAATATAGTTAGTTGTTCATAGACTTTTGTCTTTTATTTAGCCGTCGCTAAACCTATCCAGTTATGTTTGCTGGGAAGGTACCTATCCCGTTATGTTTGCTGGGAAGGTATTCATCCAGTTATGTTTGCTAGGAAGGTACCTATCCCGTTATGTTTGCTGGGAAGGTACCTATCCAGTTATGTTTGCTAGGAAGGTACCTATCCCGTTATGTTTGCTGGGAAGGTACCTATCCCGTTATGTTTGCTGGGAAGGTACCTATCCCGTTATGTTTGCTGGGAAGGTACCTATCCCGTTATGTTTGCTGGGAAGGTACCTATGTTGCGTACAAGTTGTCCTACTTTCCGCCGTAATGTCTGCAAGTAGTTACCTGATCAAAACTCATGTGTTATATATAAACAGTCGCCATATTAGTTATCTTGTTTCTTTGTTTATTCATATGAAAAATATAGTTAGTTGTCCATAGACTTTTGTCTTTTATTTAGCCGTCGCTAAACCTATCCAGTTATGTTTGCTGGGAAGGTACCTATCCCGTTATGTTTGCTGGGAAGGTACCTATCCCGTTATGTTTGCTGGGAAGGTAGCTATCCCGTTATGTTTGCTGGGAAGGTACCTATCCAGTTATGTTTGCTGGGAAGGTACCTATCCCGTTATGTTTGCTGGGAAGGTACCTATCCTGTTACGTTTGCTGGGAAGGTACCTATCCAGTTATGTTTGCTGGGAAGGTAGCTATCCCGTTATGTTTGCTGGGAAGGTACCTATCCAGTTATGTTTGCTTGGCAGGATCTATAAGCAAACCAATGCACAATAATCTCACTCGATGATGTAAATGGTGAACTGTCCCGTTTTCAGTTTAAAGTTGGTAAATACTTTACAACTTGTTCTTCCTGCCTTAAAGTTGGAGTTTAAAGTGAGTCAGCAACCAATAAGCAACCAATCAGCAACCAATCAGTAACCAATCAGCAAGCAATAAGCAACCAGTGGGCAACTGCTAAGCAACCAATAAACGATCAAAGGGCTATCATTAAGCAACCAATAAGCAACCAATAAGCAACCAATTAGCAACCAAAAAGCAATCAATAAGCAACCAATAGGCAACCAATATGCAATCAATAAGCAATTAATAAGCAATCAATGAGCAATTAATAAGCAATCAAGCAATCAATAAGCAACCAATAAGCAATCAATAAGCAATAAATTAGCAACCAATAAGCAGATACCAGGCACGATATGAGACCAGTGTATATGTGTTAAATGTTCCTTTGTCATTTGTAAATTTACAACCATTTTGTAAATTGATATTTCATAGGTAAATAGATTAAAAAATAAACAAGTATAAGTATATTTTGTAAACTGTTAACATGTAATTGTAAATGCATTAGTGTCTAAGTATCATCAACATTTATTTTTAAGTTGGCAAAAATAATTTGTAAATTGTAAATTGTAAATGCATATGTATCACCCATGAATTTTTTAAGTTGGCAAAAATAATTTGTAAATTGTAAATTGTAAATGCATATGTATCACCCATGATTTTTTTTAATTCGACAAAAATAATTTTTTAATTGTAAATGCATATGTATCACCCATGATTTTTTTTAAGTCGGCAAAAATAATTTGTAAATTGTAAATTGTAAATTGTAAATTGTAAATGCTTGAGTAAATTATAATTAATGCATAAGTATCAAAAATACTTATTTTTACGTTGGCAAACATAAAAGCATTTTTTATCTAATTTTTTTAGAACAAAATTGCAAATTGTATGAAAGATTTATTAGTAGTATCATAAATACACACATAATACATCTAATTATAGGTTATCTAAAAATTATAATACACAAATCTAACGGTATAATGAATAAGCAACCAATAGGGCAACCGATATCCAACCAATAAGCAACCAATAAGCAATCAAATAAACAACGAATAAGCAACCAATAAGCAACTATAACAAACTATATTTATGTACTGAGACATAAATAAAGGCATGAATATTATGAACTGCATCTTTATATTGCAGCACTCTGTACGTATCACTGTATATTTAGCTGTATTCTGTTTAACCTGTGGCCTACTCACATGGGATTGGAAAAAGAAAAGAAGATTTTTCCCTCATCATTCGTCTAATAGAAATTCAGGTATTCTTGTTAACCCTAACATGCTACTCATGTTCTCTCCTCTGCCCCAAATACCTTTCTCATGTAAACATCTATACGGTTAAGGCATGAGTGAATTTATCATATCTAAAAAACAAATGTGTTTAAACCCAGTAACTGTTTAGAAACTCAGCCATCTTGTGTCAACAACCCAATCATCAAAAACCAAACCAAACCAAAGAATAAAAATGGCGCCAAACCCTTTTGGAGAAGAAATCAAAAATTTCTGAAGGCAGAGAAAATAGAACCAAAGAATATAAGCAGGTGGATTATTAAAATTTAATTAAACTTAATAATTATTTATTCTATAATCAATAATAAATTCCACTTTTGTCTCAGTATTGAACTAAAACCGATCCAACGAAATTCAGCTCCCGCCAGATATCTTCCAAGATCTCCTCCTTCTCCTTGTAGACCTAATTCTCCTCCTCCCTCTCCTCCTTCTGGCCTGGTTCAACTCAAATTAAACTCAGGGCTTCAAGCCCCGCGTCAGCCGCCCCGTTTAGACTAAAATCTATATCCAGCAGTGTGTCTAGTCCGACTAGATTAAAAGGAAACGAGTATTCTAGTCGAAACTTGTCAAATCAAAAAAGTAAACAATGGAGAACAGTGGAAACTGAAAAGGCAGAAAAATAAATAAGAATCTTTAAAAAAAACTCAATTATTAAATTCAAAAATAATCTTCACAATTAGTTGATAAAAAGTTACAAACAAAACCTAAATTGTTGAGTGGGTTTATTGGTTTTAGAACATATAAATGATATTTGAGAACTGGAGGTAAGGGACTGTAAGCGTAATTTCAACTGACCCTCCATGCGAAGGTGGCAATGTCTGATTCACAACAGTACTGATTTATTTGTGGAATTTCTTTACAAAAGTAACTTGCGAATTTCTACTGCAGATAAACAAAGGAATTTTAGAATTAAACAATTTTAAATCTAGAAAAACGACCACATGGCATATAATGATCAGATAAAGGTGTCAAGGGTACTGTTGTGATTCGGGTATTGCTGTCTTTACAGTGTCTCTTGAATTACAGCCAATTCAAGATTCAAGAACTTATTGCGAAGGTAATTTTTGCCACAAACTCTGATTTTGGAATCGGGATATCTTTGCAACCCGATATCATAGACCTGGGATATTTTAAACTATAAATTCTGACAGATCAAAAAAAGAAAACTTATCGAAGGTTTATACCATTAGGTTTCAAAGATAAAGTTTGAGTTTGTGGCAAATACTCAATTCCTTTATCGAGTAGCATTTTTTAATCTGACCGAACCCTTTGACAGGTTTTGGACACAAGCAAACAGACAGACAAGTAAAATTGTTGTATTCCCAGGATGGAGAATTAGAAATATTTTTGCCAAGAGATAAAATATACCTTCTTCTGCTATACAGGTATTATATTTTCCATTTCAAAATACAGGGGGACCCAGAAAACTATGGAATAGGAAGACGACATTAAGGCAATAATTAAGTGTATTTTTATGTTGTTATCAGGCAAATAGTTTTGCTACTAACTTATTAAATCATTTATTAAGTGAAATGGGTCTGTTTACACTACACCTTTTCTGTGTCTCATGTTCATTGGACTATTCAAAGTTAAAACTTGAGTCTAAAAGTAGTTTTCCAGAGTTTTATGGTTCTCAATGTACCATAATAGGAGTACAACTTTTGCGCAATATCAGGCAAAAATAATCTACCATTTAACTTTAAAAGATTACGATTGTCGTCGTATATATTAATACAATGAAGACAACTTTCAATTTCAATTTTTATTTCTAGCAAGCTTTCAAACAGCATGGATACGCATAATCATGGAAACAAGGAGAAGCTGTCAATTAACAGCTTCTCTTTGTTTGCTTGTGGTTATAAGCTTGTATTTTGAAAAAATATTGTCAGACACCAAAACTTTAAAATAAAAGTCGTTATCGCTATATTGATATAATCGCCGACCACAGTATAACTCTAAGGTTATATTAATTATTTATACCCATAAAACTGTGGAATAGAAAGACGAATGTTAGACCCATTATGATATTAAATAGTCCATTGAAGATGAAACATAGCAATTGCGCATTTTCAACCTTTTTGTAGAACTATTTTCTTTATAAAGCCATTAAATACTCAATAAACTGATTAAATGTCGTTTCATTAGTTTCACGGGTTTCAGCGCATAAAATCTACCAATTTTATTTTCAGATCCGAAGTGGTTCAAATTCTCCTGGGGTGAGAGAGTACAATCCACAACCTTTAAGAAGAGCTCCTAAACCCTTTATCGTCCAAAAGCCTGGTTTAACAGAACCGAAAAAATCCCCACAAAAGTCTTCAAGTCTTACAAATCAAGCATCACAACCCCACTCAAAGCTAAAAACTCTTCAATAACAACAAAGTTCACCAAATGTCGGTCAAAAGACATTTCAGGACTCCGGAAAAGGCATTGATACAAATTCTCCACCATTTCCAAGAAAGCTTCCAAAATGGCCGCCGATCAAAGACGACATTTCAGAAGACACGCGGAAATATCGCAGTGTCCCATCTAACTCATCAACTACTTCGAACATTTTAAAAACTCACTTCAACGAGAGGAACAGCTCTGTGGCTAAAGAAACTCTAAAAATGAAGACGACAAATAGTATTTATGATCTTACACCTTGCAGGCCCGCCCTCCGCCCTCCTTTATGAAATATTGTTTTAAGAAATAAAATAAAAAACACTTTTGACGCAATCAGATTTTACTTTAAAAAAAACTTTTTTATCATCATTGTCTAGATAATTACTGTTTTCTTCTGATTGGTTAAAGAATATAAATAATATAACTGTTTATTTAGAGAGAATACTTTTCACAGCATGAAGTGTACAGTGGAACCCACAAATTGTGGAAGACGATATTTAGAAAATCTGTAATAAATGTTAATGAATCAAGACAGTCCTTATTCCACAGTTTTATGAGTCCCACTGTATCTTGTACACAATGTACATTGTTTATTTGTCTGGACTCAACCCACAGCACACTGCTCGGCTTAGTTTAGTTCGCCTGAAATAATTTTATTTGAAGGGACATAAATTAAAAACAGTATCTCAACAACTTATTTAAAGGGAGTGACCGGCTATGTAAGGTAGTTGAACTGAGTATGCAGTGTTGTGGAAAACTTCTTTCGGATTCGGGGGTGGATACGCTTTCAGAATTAGTTTTTTAAAAATTATTAAGTAACGACGACCTAAAATGTAAAAAAAAGTTCTGCAATAAACAACAGACGTCATGTATAGGAACATGTTGAGAAAATAATAATTAATCTTATCATCGAAAGTAAGTAATCTTATTCAATTACTAGTTTCTATTTTCTCATTATTCCGGTTTCTCATTATACACAAAGATTTTCGCAGATTTTCTAGAATTATTATTGAGAAGACGACATTTGAAGAATTTAAAGAAATCTGCGAATAAATTTAAAGAAAATAAGATATTCAATATAATAATAAAAACGAAATAATCGCTTTTAGCATTGATTTATTGACAAATTTCTTTAGAAAAATATGTTCTTAACCATCTAATTAGGTTACTGTATACTTTTTAATTTCTTTTTCAATGTCTTTATTTAATAATTTAAAAAAAAAACTTATTCTGTAAACGTATCCACCCGCACAGTAGGAGTTTTGAACGTCGAATTTGAGCTCAAACTCAAGAGTTGCATATCTTTAAAAGGTTTTATATGTCTCAAATGAATCCGAAAGAAGTTTTCCATAACACTGCATACTCAGTTTAACTACCTTACATAGCCGGTCACTCCCTTTAACTCAACTCATTAAAAAAATTATTTGTAGCCGTGGATTAGTACAACAAAAACTCTAACGAGAGTTGTCCCATAATTACAAATATAAAAATATGATTTAAAGGTTGCAAGCTCTCCAGCAAAAATCGATAAGAATTTTGCTAATTACTTCTTTGATCTATAAAGGTAAAAACAAGTGTTTTACATTCTAAAATGTACATGTTTAAGGCTACAAAAAGACAGAAGAAAGTTAGAGAAGTACAAATAAAAGCCTTAGTAGTTGCGACTCTTCAAAGTCGGTCCTGTCTTAAAAACTGATGGAACTTTTAATATGTGATACTTAAACAAAAATGGTTGAACTGTTGTGAAATATTAAGGAATTATTGAACATTGAATATAGTACATTGAGACATTAAACATTTTCTCTTTGAAACATTGATTATTTTCAATTGTGGTTCCTCTATTGAATGACTTGAGCGATTCACTTCAGAAACAATGGAAGAAATTGTCGAAATTAAAAACTTTTCACCCTACAGAGTGTCTCAATAAACTTTAAATTGCAGATAATTGATGAAATAAGTGTAAATCAAATACAAATTTTGCGTCTTGTGCGCTTTTCAAAAGGCGGTCTGCCTGTTTTGTATCTTTCAAATTAACTGAGAAATTAAAGATTAAAAAAATTATTGTTTTTTTAATTTTGAACAGATATTTCAATACTTTCGTCATTACTGAATGTGCAAAATTTGTATAGTTTTAGACGTTTATATCTTTAATTTGGATACTTAACTTGTAATCACGTAATAATGCCGCGTTAAACAAAGATGAAATAGAAGTCGTCACTTATACGTTTCATGTTTATTGGGACACCCTGTAGCAAAACAACAAAAAATGTTTCTAAGAATTCTACCTGTCTGGACAGGTACAGGTTGACCCCTCAATAACTCCGAGCTGGCGCATCCCGTACGGAAAGATGCAGAAGCATCGGGTCAGGATGCTGCAATAATAGTTAACGATGTATTCTCCTGAAAATACCCCCCCCAACACCATCTTCTACTAATGTTTTTTTTGAAGTGTTGGGGTAAATTAAGAAGAACTATATAAAGGTATTAGAGGGTTATCCACAAAGATTATGGTTTTATAACAACCTTCATGATTGAGAATGCTAGGTATATGGATCAGAAGGTTAGGTTTAGGTTTTATTATCTTGTATTTTTCTGTAGTCGCTTTTAAGGACAGAAAGAATTATAATGTATATATGCAGGGTTACCTACAGAGTATGTGACTTTAAAAACGATCTTAAAGTGACAATCTGAAGGTTGAATACATTCTTTGGCATTCAAATGATTTGTAAGTCGAATAAGATTAAATGTGTACAGCTGAAGAGAACCATTTATGTAAGAAAAAGAATAAATATATGAATTTCTGTAGGTAATAATCAACTATATATATTGATTCAAAGACACAGCAAAACCGTAATGCCGTTTCTATGAACTTTCTTTTCAAAAATTGCAGTCGGATTTCTGTAAATAAAGATATGGGGGGAGGTTCATAAAATGTCCCAGATATTAAATGTCACGTCCCATTACCCCTAACAAGCTTGTATCCAAGATTAGATGCTCTGGATGCGCTCCAAATGGAAGATGTCGTCTTCGTTTACAGCTGACAAGTGGAAAAATCCTTCCCCCTCCCACCAACAACGTTGTCACTTAATCCTACGCCAATAATCAGTGACGTCATTTGAAGAATTTGAGTGCCCATTGCTGAAGACAACATTTCCCGTACATTAGAGTGCATCAAGACTCTATCCAGTATCATAGCCTTAATAAACTCGCCTGTGTACATTGTACCTGTTATTTCCGCAGCGTACAGTTGACTTTAAAGACCGCTTAGTTGTTTGTACAGGGTGGGTTGCCGTACAGTACACCAGTTCAGCTGTTTGTAAATAAACAAACCATACATCATGCAATTAGAACTAAGGAGATTTGGAGATTTTAATGTGACGTATTAGGACAGCTTTGCACGATATCTATTTTTTTAATAAAGTTAATATGTTGAAAATGATATGTACAGGGTGTTCCAATAAACATGGAACGCAACGGGATGACCGTTCTTCTACTCAGAACGGAACAAGAACGGAACAATCTAGCTGAAGGCCCTCATTCTAGAACGGAAAGAAACGATTTTTAAAAAGTCGAAACTTGCCCAGCCCTAAGTGTAAACCGAATGTCTTCCGTTCAAAAATGACATAAACATTCCGAGTTCTCTCCGAGATTATAAAAAATTATTTGTATACTTACCCTGCAATTGTGGAACTACCTATAGAGTATCAACTTTTACATGATTATTTTTTGGTAAATAATTCGGAAAAAGTTTCGATAAAAAAATTATTTTTTTGGAAATGTAAAATTCCTTTGTTTGAAATCCATCTACGTTCTTACAGCAGGTTATTCTAAAATAGTTCATTTATTCATTTATTAATTTGTTCATTTATTCATTTATTCATATTATTTATTTATTCATTCTTTCCTTTATTTATTTATTAATTTATTCATTTATTCACCTATTCATTTATTCATTTATCCATTTATTCATTTATTCATTTTTTCATTTATTCATTTATTCACCTATTCAATTATTCATTTATTCATTTATTCATTTATTCATTTATTCATTTATTCATTTATTCATTTATTCATTTATTCATTTATTCACCTATTCAATTATTCATTTATTCATTTATTCATTTATTCATTTATTCATTTATTCATTTATCATTTATTCATTTATCAATTTATTCATTCTTTCATTTATTCATTTATTCATTTATTCATTTATTCATTTATTCATTTATTCATTAATTCATTTATTCATTTATTCATTTATTCATTTATTCGTATATTCATTTATTCATTTATTCACTTATTCATTTATTAATTTATTCATTTATTCATTTATTCATTATTTACCTTGTGACAACATTTTTTCCTACTTGTCCGCAATGACATTCATCAAATGTGGTTTCTCCTTTGTAATATTTACATAAATAGTGCAGTACGTTATAATACTCATATAATGGTGTAGTACGGTACAGTAAAATTGTACAGATGAAAGGAACTGTAGACAAAATTACAAGTGACTTCTTTATTTAAAAGCGACATATATCATTACAACATTACCCCATAAACCTTGATCAGAGTTACCATGAGGGAGATAACGTCGTTTTTATCGTGAAACGTGTTAAATTCTGACAATTTCCCCTCATGTTGTCTGCAGCATTAATCCCAAAGTTTGAAAAGTTTTAATTTCTTGTAAAATCCACAAGCCAATTTTATTAAGAACCACAATTGAAATAATAAATTTTCATTAAATGCATGGATATCCAAATTATGCTAATTTTTTTGTGAGCGGACATGTCACTTTATAAAAGAAGGGTCACTTGAATTTACGTAAACAGTCCCTTTAAGTTGAGATTACGTAAACAGTCCCTTTAAGTTATGAATTCAACAAAATTACAATGTTATTTGTAATCTATATTTTTTCTTATTGTTCTAATGTTCTATACCTGTTGTTTTATATATAGTCCGTCCTGAAAAAAACAAGATTGCAATTGTAATTTCACGCCAAAATGTCAATTCCCGATTCACAACGATACCCTTAAAACCTTTATCTGATCAATAATGTGGAAGATATTGTTGTTTTCCTAACTCAAAAGTGTTTAATTCTGATATTCTTCATTTCTTCTTATAAGGAATAAATGCTTACTTTTGCTGAGAAACAGTAGATGAAAGTAAACAGTTGAAAGATATAAAAACATGGATTTCTAATTTATACTTGATAAAACAAGCTTAAAGGGTAAATCGGATATTCCCATCTTTTGCATGAAGGTTAACTTGAAATTACGCTTACAGTCCCTTTAATACATAAATATCAAGCGAAGAGGCTGAGTTGACATATTTATACAATTATAAACATTTAGCATTAACAATTTCGTTAATTTCAAAATTTACTGATTTCATTTTTTTTTTGCTTTAATAATGTGCTTAGCAAAAAAATCAAGTCAAAATCAATTTTAAATCTCACTAAATGTCCACGCTTAATGGATGTAACGACAGAGTTTATACTTTGAAATATCTAAGGTCTACGATATTGGGTTGCAAAGATATGTGGGAAAATCAGATTTTTAAATTTCACAAACTGGCTTCCCTCCCTGTATTAACTATTTATGAAAATAGAATTCTATTTGCCTGTTTCTAAAAATAAATAAAAATATTACCTTGTTTGTTTTTCTTCAGACAATAGCAGTTGTACAGTATATTTCGGTCCGCAGGACAGCTTAGTTGTACATTTAGTCCTCTATACGTTGTACTATCCTATACATGTACATATGCAATAATAGTTGGTTTCTATATCAAGTTCATTTTACAATATATTCCGGGCTGACAGCTTAGTTGTATACATTTAGTTCTCTATAGGTTGTACTATCCTAAACATATGTAATTATTTGTTTTCTAAATCATGTTGTACAGTATATTTCTATCCACAGAACAGCTTAGTTGTATATTTAGTCCTCTATAAGTTGTACCAACTTTACTTGTACAACATTTGTAATCAGTTTGCTTCTATATCATGTACATTGTACGGTATATTCAAACCTGTAGTCTGTAGTTCTATCTATCCTCTATTGAAGAATAATGTATATTCTTAGTTGTATGTACAGTAGATAGTAAACTATTAGCATTTATTTTGTATCATGGATAATTAATATTGTACATTAATGTACATTGTACATAGTGTACAACAGTACAATTGGCATCTTATAGGTTGCATTATCCTATAAATAATGTACATAGTTATGGAATGTACAGGCTTACTCAAAAAGAATGAAACTTCAGAGACGACTGTACTGTAAACTTGTTTCATAATTTGCCAATTCATTCATACATATTTGCTAGATTTTAGGTCGTCATTAAAAGTTCATCCTTTGTGGGTAACCGTGTAACAGAAAACTTACTGAAAGGGTTTCTTAAGATTAAAATAATTCAATAAAATCGAATATATACCTCACAATTGATTTCCAATTGGGACAGAACAGCTGATATTTCTGGTTACATTATAAAATACAACATTTAAAAAAACCTCCACATTTTATGAGAAATAACAAAATTAATGAGCTTGGAATACCAAGTAATAAAAGTAAATGTTTTCTTAGAAAATGTTGTATTTAATACCATGTGATAAATCTTCAGTTCCTGATAAAAATATTGTTTTCATAAATTTTTTAAAATTATTGAAAAAAATGTTAACAGTGTCTTGTCTTGTCTTGTCTTGTCTTGTCTTGTCTTGTCTTTTCTTGTCTTGTCTTGTCTTTTCTTTTCTTGTCTTGTCTTTTCTTTTCTTGTCTTGTCTTTTCTTTTCTTGTCTTGTCTTGTCTTGCCTTGTCCGTGTTTACCTCCGTCTATCTTTAAAAAGTTCTTGAAAAGATTGTGATTAATAAGATGCTTGATTGATTGATTGTTAAACTGTGGTGGCTGAACCCAATGCCGCGCTAGTTTCTCTTCACTGCTGCGCAAAAAATACATAATTAAGTTTGTATACAATTATAGACGACCTGGGCAATTGGCATTTGCCTCGAAAAAATTGTTATTTCAATTTTGAAAGAGTTTTCAATGAGAAAATGGCTTAAATATTCAAAACATGTTTTTTAAAAGTTAAAGGACTATGTTGTAATTTCAACTGACTTTTCATTTAAAAAAAGGGAAATGACCGATTTACAGTCCATCCGTTCTATTGCCCATCCGCTATACTGCAAATCTGACCTACGACATCTGTTTATTTTGTATTATTTGTATTAGATTTGGAGCATTTCTGGGCTAAGCGCTGCAGCTCGGACAGGCTAGGGGGCCGAAAGCCGCGGCTAGGACAGGCTAGAGTGCCGGGCGCTGTGGCCAGAAGTCCATCTAGCAGCTGTAAAACCACGTGCTAGTAGGTCAAATGGGCAGTAGGACGAATGGGCGCAGGTCCAGAAATACACCATCCAATTTGCCCTTTAATTTATTATCTGATAAGTAATATGGAAGATATCTTCTTATTTCAAGATTGAAAAATCTGTGATTTTGACAACTTCCTCCGTATGTTCCTCCGTAAAGCAGAAATACGCAAGTCACTTTAAAGAAAAAACAATCAATTTTCAAAGAGAAGATCAGTAAAAATGTACTGACGGGAATCGGACATATCATTTATAAATGAACAGTCAATTTAAATTGCAGTCATTTTACAGGTCTCAAGGACACCATAGTTTTATAAGTAAATATTTCCATTTACTGACAGCGCTGATTGAAGGATTCATAACTCTGATTGGATAATGAGACAGATAGAAAGATTATAGATGTTACCGCCATACTATTTCTATTGGTTCAAAATAGACAACAAACACATGACTGAACCCTGATTGGATCAGGCGCTAATGGACTAGGCATACAGGAGTGAGGATCTTTGTTAATAAACTTTTGAAGGATGGATAATTAGCTATAATAACATTATAATATTTAAATATTTTATCAAAATTTAATCTACTTAGAATTCCCGTTATTTTTCCAGAATATTTTGAAAACCACTGTATCGGTTACGTCGGTTATATTTCTTACGTCGGTTATATAACTTCAAGACTACATAGTTAAAATAATATGCAGCCACACCAACGAAGAACCATCAATGTACTTCGTTGGTAGAGCTCTCAATCTGTATGTTTTTACATAGTGTATGTAGCCTCGATACCAACTTTTCCTTAAAAATGTAAAATGTATACGCAAACTGATTCTACATAACTTGCTCAAATTATATATAAACGATTTGGTTGTAAAATATTTTTATTCAATCCACCTAAACCTGTCTCGTCAACAACCCATTTTATGCATTTAATGTTCCACCACTTCATTGGTACAATTCTCAATTCGTATGTTTTGCATAATCTAAGTAGCATTGATACCAAATTTTTATTTAAAAATGTATCCGTAAATTAACTCCTATATAATTCTCACAAAATATATGTAAACGAGTTTGATGTAAAACTGTCTTATTTAATCCATGTAAATTTTTTTGTACAATTTAAATAATCTCGATACGGAGATAATAAATATCTAGATCTCAAAAAAGAAGACAAACATGTTTAAGGTTTTTTTAATTTAAAAATGTTTTATTCAAGACAATTGTGATCGGCTTCTTCAAAATTGAAAGAGATTTATTGACTTTAAACCTTCAGCTTTAAACATTTAATGATCAGTTTCATTTCTAAAGTTTGAATATGAATATGTATGATTTCCTTAACGTGAAAGCATGTGAGCTGGATATTATAAAGATGAGTAGAAATTCTTGAGTCATATTTTTTTCTGAAAGAATATCAAATATCAAATATCAAATCTAAGCAGCGAAAATATTGTTCAGGGAACGAAAAAGTGAACGAAAATTTTCGCGAATTTCTCGAAAATTTTCGACCTTTTGTTATAAATCTTTTTTTCATCGCAAAAGCAAAAATTTTTAACAACCTATTTTCGCGAAATTTTAAACTTTTCCCCTTTTTATTTGCCAAATTATTGAATATAACATTCACGAACTATTTTCAAGATAAAAAAGCCAACTTTAAACTTTCAGATCTTCATCTTCCTATTGCCCCCCCCCCTATGATTTTGCCCTTACGAGCTGAGATAGGGGAGTGTGATACATGACCTCTAACTTTGATAGTTATGGGGTGCAAGAGAGGATTTTAAATAAGTTTAAGAAAAATGTTTATGATAATTATTTTTTATTTTGAAAAATATGAACATATGACACATATTATTACATTTCTCAAGGGCTTTTCAAATCTATAAAGTTTTGGTCTGTAGCTTAATCAATAAAAAAGTTATTAAGTATTTCTGATTTTTTTTAAACACAGACTCCCCACTTGACTGTCCTCCACCTTACCCTATCCTTTATTTTGTAAACAACGACCTCCTCTATTAAGAAAGTATTCTCCTGGGATTAATTGCTATGTAATTTACCTTATCTATTAAATAACATGAAAATGTGCGACACATTTACCCTTGGGGGGCCTCACCAGAAACTCCGTCCGAAATCCAACAATTTTCTGGACGAAAAAAAGAATCAATTTTACCGAACGAAAATTGAACAAAAATTTCGCAAAAATGGACGAAATTTTCGTGAAAATGAGGTCGAAAACTTTGTCGAAAGTATATCAAAATTCTTTCATTTTCACGAATTTCGTTCAACTAAAATTTCGTTGGAAACCCTATCAGTGTAACCCTTGGGTTTAAAAAAATGTCAAATCCGTTTTAATTTTTTTGAGGGAACCTATTACAACATAGGCTAAAAAAATGCGACTTTTAAAAAAAATGGATTTCTTTTTTCAAGATTCGCTTTTTTTCTTTCAAAAGTTCCCGGAAAACGGCGGGCACTTCAGCTAGTATAGATATATGAGCAAAGAGCTTTATTATATATATATAAAATAATATTATGCTACGCAAAATATGATTAATTTTTCTAGGGCTACAGAATGATATTTTTATTTCTTTATGCGTAATATATTAACATAGGTGTATGCTTTATAGGCATAGAATTACGTTTAGATATGCTCTATGTATGGGGCAGACCATGGGGTGTCCCAAAATTATATCTGAGGTATTATTGTCATTTTTAATGCACATTTCCAATTGTGTTTTACAAAAAGTTGTTTGATTTTGAACTCAAATATACACTACCATGAAAAATTTAGCACTCAATTTTTAGCTTTAAAATTAGGATATTTAGGTCATTCCTCATCAAGTTTTTAGGTTGCAATTGTGAATCGGACATACCAATAAATACAAAATAAAGGGTTACATTATCTAGTTCAAAAATAACTAAACAAACTGTTAAGTTGAAACACTATAATGTATTACTGGTAAAACTAAGCGACCTCGCATAGCTCCAGCATAAGAAAAACAAATTTTTCGGAGTCCGAATTTAATGAATTTAAGCTGCGTCTCAAATCCCCTAAAACCGGTTTCAATTGAGCGCCGGCTTAAATCTTGAAAAATTAAATACAATTTTAAGTGAAACCAACCATATTTGAGCCACGGCTTAAATTTAAGTCGCGGCTTAAATTCTTTAAATTCGGCCTCTGGTTACATATTAGAAATAAAAAACACTCTCGGTCTCAAAAGCTCTTCAATAATTATAGCTATGATTGAAAACATATTGGATTCCAATCTTACCTGAATTTTCTTTAGTTTGATTTGATATGAATATTGGAACACCATTATATATATATATTATATATTGTATATATATATATATATATTGTGTAGAATGTATCTGTCAAGGATCAAGTGCCCCCAGGTGTCGATACTAGTGATGTGTTGAAGGGTAGATGTTTGTCAAGAGAGGGAGGTAGGGGTAGATGGTGGGGGTAGTATTGGGTAGGAGGTAGGAGGTAGGTTAGTGAGGGTAGGGGTAGATAGTGGGGGTAGTAGTGGGTAGGAGGTAGGAGGTAGGTTTATGAGGGTAGGGGTAGATGGTAAAGGAAGGTTCAAATTTTATTCTTTATTCAAGAATTTAGAATTTGACTCAAAACATTGGTGTTCATATTCCTCCCAAAAACTCTGTTAGAGACTTTGTTTAAACAAATTGTTAATCCTTCTGTTTTTTAATTAAATAATACCCTGGAAACAAGTAAAACTTAAATTTGTATTTTATATTCCTTTTTAGATCAATGAGCTGCTAGAGGTGATCAATTTTCTCAAAGAGACTGTGTCGCAATTTCAAGAGACTCTCCATTTAAATGCCAAAAAGTCTTTGAGAGCTGTATCAATCCAGGTACAACTCAATCAGGAACTCAAGGTTCCACCAATACCACTATCAATGTCAATCCGGACACAACTTTATCTGTATTAATACTCGTTCCATCTCGTTATGATTGACGAGGCATAAGAGCTATTTAGTTCAACAAAACTTTACTATCCATGTCAATCCAGACACAACTTTATCTGTATTAATACTCGTTCCCTCTCATTACAATTGACAGGCATAAGAGCCATTTAGTTCAATAATATTTTACTATCAATGTTAATCCAGACACGACTTTATCTGTATTAATACTCGTTCCTTCTTGTTATGATTTATGAGGCATAAGAGCTATTCAGTTCAATAATGCTTTACTATCAATGTCAATCCATGGACATGACTTTATCTGTATGAATTCCAGATCTATCTTTATCTTTCAAGAGAGCGATTCAGAACACTTCTCGTTTGCTAACCAAGAAGAATTACTCTCACACTGTAATCAAAGCGGAATATTTTCCAACTGAATACATTTTGGGTTCTATCTTGCACGTCAGTTACAAGTTTTACGACGTTATATACAAGCGTAGTTAAGCTAATCACAATACAGTACAGACGTAGCTAATGTGGTTAATTGCGACACAAGTTTTGCGTAGCTATTTACAAGTGCATTTAGATTTACAGACAATGTACAACGTAATATATCTAGGTATGTTTAGGTTAGATATATATAGGGTTTGCTACAATATTTGTTACAAATATATACTTTGCTTGTCTGTTTGGGTATCTGTTTGTTTGTATCCAATAAATGTCAAAACGGCTGAACCGATTGAGTCAAATTTTTTTTTCAAAATTCAATTTTTTTCCCACGGGCAACGCCAGGCACTTCAGCTAGTTATGATATATTACATGAAATAACGACAACTTCATCTTTGTTTCTCAAATAAAGGTGTAAATGGTATTATATAAAACTCTTGGAATTATGTTGACAGTCTCTTTAACATACCGCCCTAACGAGTCAATTGTTTAAGATTTTTTAATCTGAATAAAAATGAAAATATGAGAATAAAAGTGAACCTTGAAATGAAGGAAGTTCATGCTCTATGAACATCAGGCGACATCTTTTAGCAATTTCACGAAAAATCCGGGAAAACAGACAAACTTACTTTTAGGGCGGACTGACGACAAAATTTCACAAACGATGATGTTTTTTCTCTCTCGAATTTCTGAGGCCAAAAAGGGCAAGAAATTGGCTGTATTTGGTCCTATTCTAAGTTTAAGACTACAGTTAGGACCAGAAAACTATGGAATTACGAAGACGACATCAAAGTAATCTTTAAGTGAATATGATCTTGTAACATATAGTTTTACTATGCATCCGTTAAAATCCCTCAATATGTGTTCGTAGGACTATTTCCTATTCTTATTACTGAGCTAATTATTGAAGAAAATGTTTTGTATTTCTAATAAATAACCGACCAGTGGCCTAATTTGAAGAATTTTAGCGGTGGTTTAAATTTAAGCCGCGGCTTAAATATGGTTGGTTCCACTTAAAATTGTATCAAATGTTTTAAGATTTAAACCGGCGCTAAATTTAAACCGGGTTTTGGCGGATTTTGGCGGATTTTGGTGGATTTAAACCGCGGCTCAAATTCTTTAAATTACATCTCAGATAAAATTGCTTTTCTCATGCTTTGCGTACATTAAAAACCAGAGGAGCTAGGAGGTCACAAAACCAGAGGAGCTAGGAGGTCACAAAACTAGAGGAGCTAGGAGGTCACAAAACCAGAGGAGCTAGGAGGTCACAAAACTAGAGGAGCTAGGAGGTCACAAAAACTGATTGAATTCTTAAAAATCATTAGTCTCATCTCATCCTTTTATAGCAGATTTTAAACGTTTTAATTGCCCCCCGTCCCCCTAACCTCAACCTTGAATTTTGCTTCTTACGTGTATTCTGCTTATCATCATAAATATTAAAATTTCCCGCATAATACATACTTTAGTGAAGGAAGGAAATAGATATGATATACAGAGTGTCCCACTAAACATGACTGCTTAGTTACTACTTGAAGATCGTCTTTGAGCTTTGAAATAAATTGCAGCATTTATTTGTCAACCGGTTATTTTACAAATAATACAATAAATAATATAATAAATAATATAATATCATATATGAAAGGTATTGTCTATGTTTATGAAATATCTTGTCTATGGTGCACTATATCACATATGAAAGGTATTGTCTATGTTTATAAAATATCTTGTCTATAGTGCACTATATCATATATGAAAGGTATTGTCTACATTTATGAAATATCTTGTCTATGGTGCACTATGTCATATATGAAAGGTATTGTCTATGTTAATGAAATATCTTGTCTATGGTGTACTATATCATATATGAAAGATATTGTCTATGTTTATGAAATATCTTGTCTATGGTGCACTATATCATATATGAAAGGTATTGTATATGTTTATGAAATATCTTGTCTATGGTGCACTATATCATAAATGAAAGGTATTGTCTATGTTAATGAAATATTTTGTCTATGGTGTACTATATCATATATGAAAGATATTGTCTATGTTTATGAAATATCTTGTCTATGGTGCACTATATCATAAATGAAAGGGATTGTCTATGTTTATGAAATATCTTGTCTATGGTGCACTATATCATATATGAAAGGTATTGTCTATGTTTATGAAATATCTTTTCTATGGCGTACTTTATCATATATGAAAGGTATTGTATATGTTTATGAAATATCTTGTCTATGGTGCACTATATCATATATGAAAGGTATTGTATATGTTTATGAAATATCTTGTCTATGGTGCACTATATCATATATGAAAGGTATTGTATATGTTTATGGAATATTTTTTCTATGGTGCACTATATCATATATGAAAGGTATTGTCTATGTTTATGAAATATATTGTCTATGGTGCACTATATCATTGAAAGGTATTGTCTATGTTTATGAAATATATTGTCTATGGTGCACTTTATCTTATATGAAAGGTATTGTCTATGAAATTTCTTTTGTAAAATTTCCAATGCACCATATGCATCAATATGAATATTTACACATGTATATCTAAGTATTTTTTACATTGAAGGGATGTGTACAAATAAAATTTAATATTTTTTATTTATTTCTACATATGATTTAAATTTTTTTATTTATGTTTTTTATTTATTGTTTAAAATGATTTATCAGAACATCCTACAAGTAACACTGCATGTTTCACAAAAGTCTACGCATTGTGCACCGTGCGTATTTGCGCGTAATATGCGTACTAGATGCGTAGTCAAGGGTCTGTTATTAACTGCATATTATGCGCAAGACTCTGTAAGTGAGAAAACGCGCGAAATTTTTTGTTTTGTTTGACTTTGCCGATAGCTTTTATTGTTCGCAAAAGTGGTTAATTATCACACATTATTCATTTCAAGCACTGTGAAACTAACCAACATTCCGCCACACAGGGGTGAAAAGCACTTATATTTATTTACTAAATCAAGAAATACATTAATAGATACTTATATAGATATATAAATTATTATTTTTCATTTTAATAAGATCATCGGCAAAACAGGGGGGTGGGTACATTGTCTTCCCCCCTTTTCTTCTATTATACACTAGGGGGTGTACCAAAATATAACATTTTCTTGATTACTTGTTCCTGGTTCTTTTTGGTCTATGCTGAATCTTACATAAGATTTCATCATGGAGATTATACAGGATTCTCTTGAAGACAAGAAATGTTTTAATACCAGTAAAATTCAAAAAGTTAAGAAAAAAGTCAATATATTCTGTGCGAAAAAATAAAAATCACACAACCTCGATGGTTTTTTTTTCAAACATTTTAAAACTGAAAAGCCCGACGTACTTTCAGAGGCAGTGTACTAAACAAACCAGGATCAACTAAACTAAACCAGGATCCAACGCAAATGTTTTATGGGGCATTGTCCTAGCTTTGCATAGAGGGTCACTTAAAATTACGCTTTCAGTCCCTTAAATAGTGTCATATTTTGAGACATCCTTAGTTATATGTTTTACTATTACTACTAATTTATCCATTTCAAGTCTTGTCATGTCAGCCTTACCATGTTTGTGAAACAATTATTAAAACCACATATTTCTTATTTCTGCATTGTGTAAACAATAGATACCAATCAGGGGCGTATGAAGTAATTGGTCCAGGGGGCGCATAAGATTTATTCAGGGGGGGAGGGGCATTTCCCATTACCCCCCCCCCCCCACGTTTTATGCCCCTGATCAGAATGCAGAATGTAAACCAAAACAAGGATGAAATAAAACAATGTATAAATGGAAACCTTCAACAAAGAATGAGACTTCAGAGACGACTGTACACAATTTATACTGACGATATTTCCTTATATTCATGATTACCTGCAACTATAAACTTATTTCTTTCTTTAAAAAAAAATATTTAAAAAGCCATTTAAAGACCACATTCAAGGCAGTAGGATTAATTTAAACTTGGGATCGTCATATATGAAGAGCTTCAAGTTTGCTCTACGAGGGGGGGGGGGAGGCAACCCGCACCCGTATAGCTTTCATCCCGCAATTTACTCAGAAACATAGAGTTACGGCCACGCGCTCACCCATAGCGCTTCCTTAGGCGCATTCATATATCTTCCGGCAAAATGTCTTTTATAGTTTTGAATGCTTATTGAAGAGGAATCCAGCTTTAATGTAAGATTTTAAAGACGTCATGGTATCTATCATAACCTAAACATATTGATCATACTTTTTTCTCGCCCACTGGGGCAAAAGTTGTTAAAATTTTTGTTAAAAACTTTGATTTATTGCGATTTCCTCCTAAAATGTAATATTTTGCACATGTCAACTGATGTTGATCTTATCTAAAAACGTTTTTGAAGATAGGGAGAAATTCAGTCTTTACCAGAAATAACGCAGTTTTTCGTGGGATTTGGTTTTTAATTTTACAAAAATCAAATAGATAAATAGATAGATAGATAAAAAGATCTAGATAATTTTAAAACAAATTTCAAGCAAAACTGTGTTATTTCTGGTAAAAATTGAATTTCTCTCTTTCTTCAAAAACATTTTTAGAGAAGAATGACATCAGCCGACATGTACAATTAATATTATGTTTTAGGAGAAAATCGCAATACATTTTGCCGGAAGATATATGGGTGCGCGGCTAAGGTAGCGCTACGGGTAAGCGCATTGCCGCAAGTCAATGTTTGTGAGAAAATTGCGGGATGGAAGCTATAGGGATGCAGCTTGCCTTACCCCCTCGATTTACGTCTCATACAAGATCCAAATGCACATGCACAAAACACATATATACATAGATAGAGGCTTCTCCAGGATAACTAAATGTTCATTTTTATCTAAACTTTGATGTTTTTATGCCTTTTTTCAATACATGTTTATTTCATAATAGATGTTTTGAATATATCATCTGCAAAATCTATTTTAAAATGAAATTTTTAAATTAAAGAACACTGATTTTTAAAGTGATATTTTCTATATCCCGCTAAAGACTGTTCTTTTTGATTTTTAAAAGTTACTCCTGGTTGCACAATGTGCAAATAAAAACATCAACTTCAGCTTAAATTTGTTTGCTTTGAATTATAGATAAATAATTTAAATAAAACATAAATTGCTAACCAAGTAACTTTATCTATTAACTTTAAAATTTCAATTGAAATACAATTTATTATATGATAAAATCCTTTATAAATCTAATTTTCAAACTTTATTTTTTGATATCTTTCCCATTTTCTTCTTGTACTCCCTGAAACTCCTTGTCTCCGGTCCCCTTGCCGCCCCTGCACTTAAAGCAGGCAAATAAAAAATCAAATAACTTGTTTTGTTTACAAGGAACCGGTTTTTCTGCTTTCTTTTCTTCCGCAGCTTTCTCGGCTTTCTTTTCAGGTGCTTTCTCAACTTTCTTTTCCTCAACAGGTTTCACAGGTGACAAAGCTTCGTTATTGTTGGAAACTGGCTCCTTGGGTATTTCAGGAATTTCTGCAACATTTTGCTTTGCATTTTCTTTTTGCACTTCACTGCTAAGTGCTGGAGTATTCGCGGATTTCTCTGAAATTATCGCAGATTTTTCTGCGCTCTCAGATATTTGTGTGACTTGATGTGTTTCAGTTGATTGGATAGAAACAACTGATTTATCTGAGGAACTGATTACACTAGTTGAAGAGGTGATAGAAGTGCTTGTTGTTGATAAAGAGCTAGTGCTGATCATGGTTACATTTTGCAGTGTGCGCAATGGTTTGGTTTGGGTCTCTTCCAAGATGGAGGACTCCTGTAATTCTTGAGAATTGATGGTGATTGAAGTAACAAACTTGGATCCGGTTGACCTCACCTGTAATAATAAATTTTTAAAGGAACTGTCAGCGTAATTTAAAGTGACCCTCCAAGCAAAAATGGCAATCACCGATTTATAACGATACCTTTTATAAATTCGCTAACAGGTAAAACATCTGGAAGATACTTTTAAATTCTGATAAATTTGTCCATTACTTCTAGTAAGCAAGAAATGTGCCGATCACTATTAAAAATAATCAGTTTTTTAAATTATAAACATCGATATCTAATTTATACTTAATCAGACAAAGCTATTATAAGGGATCCGTTGTAAATCGGGCATTGTCATCTTTGCAGAGAGGATCCTTAAAATGAATTAGAAAAATGTTTGAAGTAGGATATAAATTAAAATAGTTGCATTGTTTTTATTTTAATTTTGAAAGGCACTTATGATTTATGAGTTTAAAGCACAAAAACTAGCAAATAGGCAGAAGTCTATATAGAAAATTCCAATGTGTATCAGGATGCAAAATTGGAATCAGGCTGCAAAAGGATGCAAAAGGGATTGAAATAATATTGAATGTTGGATGCAGTAAGGTCAAAAAGCCCAGAGTTTAATAAGTTTTCTGATGAAGTACATACACGTGCAACTATCATACACGTGCAACTATCATACACGTGCAACTATCATAATTATTGAGGAAATAGAAATTACGGAGAATCTTTGGATGGAAAAAAAATTATGGAAGGAAGGAGCACTCATGGAAATTCTAAATTTTCATCTAACAAAATTTAGCACCGGCATAAAATTCAACTTAGCAGAATCATTCGTCAAATTTTGTTAAATGATTCTACAAAGGTGAATTTGAGGCCGGTGCTCCAACAAATTTTGTTAGATGAAAATTTGAAAAATCTTAGAGCTTGAGAAAGAAGGAGATTGGAGAAGAAGGAAAAAGAAGGAAGGAGAAGGAAGGAGAAGGAAGGAGAAGGAAGGAAAAAGAAGGAGATGGAAAGAGAAGGAAGGAGAAAGAAGGAGATGGAAGGAGAAGGAACGAGAAGGAAGGAGAAGGAAGGAGAAGGAAGGAGAAGGAAGAGGAAGGAAGGAGAAGGAAGGAGAAGGAAGGAGAAGCAAGGAGAAGGAAGGAAAAGGAAGGAGAAGGATAACAAGGAAGGAGAAGAAAAGAGAAGAAAAGGAGAAGGAAGGAGAAGGAAGGAGAAGGAAGTAGAAAAAGAAGGAGATGGAAAGAGAAGGAAGGAGAAAGAAGGAGAAGGAAGGAGAAGGAAGGAGAAGGAAGGAGAAGAAATGAGAAGGAAGGAGAAGAAAGGAGAAGGAAGGAGAAGGAAGGAAAGAGAAGGAAGGAGAAGGAAGGAGAAGAAATGAGAAAAAAGAAGAAAGGAGAATCAAAAGGGAAAAAAGGGAGGTCTAGTTTCTCAATGAAATGGTTGAGCTAAAAGCTCTAAACCTATTAATTCATCATGTTTAGCCTAAAACTATGAAGATAACTGTATACAATGCCAGACGTGGAAACTCTCAAACTCATCAAACTCGGTTTTGAGCTCAATGAAGTAAACATAACAAATATAATTTTGAAAAAAGTTGGTATGTTTATAAATATTTTCAAAAGTTGAAAACCTCAAAAAGTTTCCTACTCTAGACCCTACACATTCGCTTAATAGCCCCCACACTTAGACATCGGTATGAAAACCAGTTTTTAAATTCATTAGCGCAGTGGGGAATTTATACTTTAAATAAGGTCTTGCAGACTTACAGTCCCTTAAATAAGGTCTTGCAGACTTACAGTCCCTTAAATAAGGTCTTGCAGACTTACAGTCCCTTAAATAAGGTCTTGCAGACTTACAGTCCCTTAAAGCTGGAAAGGTTTAGAGAAAATGGAATTGTTATAAAGGCTCCAAAGGATGATATTTAAAAACGTAAAAAAGGAGAAATTTTTAGAACTTAAAACTTGTGTGAGGATGGGGAAGGAAAGGGAAATAATGAAAGATGATGTAGAAAAGGGGAAGGGTGAGGGATGTGAGGGGGGAATGATGGTATGGGAAAAAGATAAGGAAGGAAAGGGGAGGGGGAAGGGAAAGGGTATAGGAAGGGCGGAATGGAAAGGGGAGAGGGGAGGTTGATTAAGAAAAGAAAAAGAGGGAAAGGTGAGGAAGGAAAGGGAATGGATGAAAGATGATAAAGGGGGGGGGGTATAAAAAGGGGAATGGTGAGGGATGGGAGGGGGGAATGATGGCATGGGGAAAAGATAAGGAAGGAAAGGGAAGGGAAAATGGAAAGGGTGGAATGAAAAGGGGACGGGGAGGTTGATTAAGGAAAGAAAAATAGGGAAGGGTAAGGAAGGGGGAGGGAGGATATGAAGAGAGGAAAGGGAAAGAGAAAAAAATGAGAAGCATGGAATGGAAAGGGAAGGGGGAACTTACTTGTTGATTCGGAGATGAATGTGAAGATGATCCGTTTTCTTTCTCTTTTTCTTGTTCAACATCCTGCTCTTGTCTCTGCTCTTGTTCTTGCTTTTGTTCTTGTTCCTGTTCTTGTCCACATACACTGATGGAAGTACTGCTACCGCTATTCCTACACACCAATCAATCAATAAAATTTTACAGAAATAGTACAAAAAGTTGAATAATGAATTAAGTTTATAATGACTGGAAAATTTAAAGCTAATTGATTTATAGATGAATACAGAATTGAATATATTGTACAAAAAGATAAATATTTTTGCAAAATAAAATATGAAAAGAGAGCTAAATAAATATAGGCCAAAAAACATGGAACTTAAAAGACAAACCTATAGGTTATTGTTTAAAAAGAATAAATGAATAATCGATAAATACGCGCAAGAGAGATAAAAGAATGAATGAATTTTATTGACTTATGAATAAAAATGTGCATGGAAATATGAATGAATGAATGAATTATACATATTAATGAATGACTACGTAAGAAAGATGAAAAATGAATGAATTATTTATATTATTAATGAAAAAGGGCAAGAAAGATGAATGAATGAATTATATTATAATTCAATAGGATGAAGACGTAAAATGAATGAATGAATACGTGCAAGAAAGATTAATAAATGAATGAAAGGATGAATGAAAAAAGGTAAACGTTTAAGAAAGAGAAATGAATGAATGAACTATAATATATGAAAGGATGAACTCTTGCAAGAAAGAATGAATGAATCAATAAATTATATATTAATATAAACGTGCAAGAAAGATAAAAGAATGAATTAATTATATATATTAATGAATGAAAACGTAAAATTAATGAATGAATGAATGAATTATATATAATAATGAATGAAGTCATGTGTGATTATGTAAATAGCTCTACAGTTATAAATCTTTTAGCGCTGAGATTCTGGAAATTTGACATTTTGAAGACTGAAGGATCTATTAAGCTCAGCAGCCTAATATTCATTTTTCAGACGGTTTAAAACCCAACTCACACACCTTAAAAACTGTAATTATATCCCACCCCAGCCCCTCTATTTTGTACCTTACATAAAGGGATACCTACTGCCTAGAATGTTTTCATGCAGTAAATTAAGTTTTGCTTTTAAGATACTACTCTAAGTTATACAACGGGGTATCATCAATCATCATGGTTAAATTTTGTATTTGAAAAATAATAATGCTAAAATTGCTCTTGAACACAATTAAAAAATGGTTTGTTAATTTGGTTTTAATCTAAAAATATGTGCCTAGCTGTATTTTGTATTTTTCATTTTAACTATTTATTGATTTAATGATAAATTTTAATTTTGTGACCCGTCCCTTAAAAACTGGATTTTGACAGATTAATTCCAGATCTAGTAAAGCATATGGTGAAACTTAATACTGCTTGAGCAAGCATAAATTTTCTAAATTTTAATTAGATATTGTAAAGCCTGGGCTCGAAATATGAAGCTGTGAACTTAATTAATTTTGATAATACAGTGGGACTCAAAAAGCGATGTGAATTTTTTTGGTTTTTTGCACCCAAAATTTGACCCCAAAAAAAGCTATGTATGAGTTAAACAAGCCTCAGTGTTTTTGTGCCATTGCTTTTTTATTTATGAAAAAAATGTTGATTAATGGCTTTGATGTGAATACTTAAAAAAACAATACTAATCAGAAAGTTTTAAAAAATCGTTGATGACGTTTCTGAGCCATCAATTGTGATACACACATTTTTTACCTGATGTTTGTAATATTATTTGGCAGATTTACATTAATCACGAGTAAACTTGATTCCGCGGCATCTGTGCATTCCTCTGCATTGGTTTCTGATCGGGTTGGTTCCGTTGATCTCAAGGATTGAATGACAATAGGACGATTGTCAGCTAATGTACACGATGCTAGGATTGCTTCAGATTCGTCATAATCGCTTCCAGAAGGATCATATTCGTCTTGGCTGATTTCTGTATTGTTATCTGTTTCCACGTGATTCTCTGTAGTGTGTACAGCTGTCACTGTTACTGTAGATTCTTCTTTTAGGTTTTCAGTCCTATCGTTATTTTGATGTATTTTATCAACTTCCTTCTTTTCTTCATAATCATCTTCATCTTTTATATTCTCCCTTTTCTCCTCTTTCTCCTCCTTCTCCTCCTTCTCTTGCTCTGGTGCTTTCTCCTGTACTTGTGTCTTTTCTTGATCTTGACTTTGTTCCTTTTCAACTTCTTGTTCTTGTTCTTGGGCCAGTTCTTGAGTCTGCTCATTTTCTTGTTCCAGTTCTTTTGCATGTTCCTGAGTCAGTTCTTGTTCCGTTTTTTGTTCTTGTTCTTTTTCTTGTTCCCGAACCAGTTCCTGTTCTTTTTCCTTTTCTTCTTCTTGTTCCTGATCCTGTTCTTGTTCCTGTTCTTGGTTCTTTTCTTGTTTTTGTTCCTGTTTCTGTTCCAAAGCATGTTCCTGTTTCAGAGCCTGTTCTGGTTCCTGTTCCTGTTCTAGAGCCTGTTCCTGTTCCTGATCCTGTTCCTCTTCCAGTGCATGTTCCTGCCCCTGTTCCTGTTCCAGAGCCTGGTCCTGTTCCAGAGCCCGTTCCTGTTCCGGAGCCTGTTCCTGTTCCAGTGCATTTTCCTGTTCCTGTTCCAGAGCCTGTTCCTGTTCCAGTGCATGTTCCTGTTCCTGTTCCAGAGCCTGTTCCAGTACATGTTTCTGTTCCTGTTCCAGAGCCTGTTCCATCACATGTTCCTGTTCCTGTTCCAGAGCTTGTTCCAGTACATGATCCTGTTCCTGTTCCAGAGCAAGTTCCTGTTCCTTGAACAAAACTACATTGTGTGCCACACCACTGCTAAGTCCTGAATCAGGACACACCACCACCTGGACACAACAAAATATTTCAAAACTATTTTAAGATTATTTATAATTTTTATTTTGTTGCAGCATTATTTTTTCCGAATAATTTTAGGAAACATGATATTTATGGCTTCGTGAAGTAATCGTAATATTATTCAAGAAATAAAATCCTATCTGGCAGTTTTTGAATAGACTCATTTTTAAGAATTATACAACATTTCAAAATATTTTCCTGATGGTTGATGAAGCTGGCAGGAGGATTGCTCAGCTCAGTACACCCTAAACAGAACTCAATCTTTATAATTTAAAATTATTTTTAAAAATACAAGACAATTTCCCGCATTTAACAAATATTACCAATGATAACTTAAGTTGCCTACAAAATCAGCCAATTATGAGATATATCAAAATGTATTCTTTTACAAATCAACTTTTATTACATACTAAAAAATTGTCTTTTTCATAGTGTAGTATAAGGGCATACAATTTTGGAAAAATTTTCAGATTTTTGGGAAGTCTCTTGAGAAGCCCAAAAAACCTTGATTGATTATAAAGATCAAATGGGATACCAAAGACTATTCACTCGACGTGAATGACTCTCAAAATTATAATTCTTTCTAGATCAAATACATCACGAGAGTTGTTGTAAATTTTTGAATTTCTAAATTTACAGGCGATCCTTTTCTTTTTTATTCTTTTATAAAATCAGTTTCAAAATTTATGCAATTTTAGCATAAATTGTGGTTTCATATTTTACCTGAGACAATGTGAGCCACCATAGAAATAATTTCATTTTTTCCCTCCGAATTTTCCTCAAAATTTTCCTTCGAATTTTCACCCCCATTTTCCTTCGAATTTTCACTCATCTTTTCCTCCGAGTTTTCACTCATCTTTTCCTCCGAGTTTTCACTCATCTTTTCCTCCGAGTTGTCACTCATCTTTTCCTCCGAATTTTCACTCATCTTTTCCTCCGAGTTGTCACTCATATTTTCCTCCGAGTTTTCACTCATCTTTTCCTCCGAGTTTTCAATCATCTTTTCATTCGATTCTTTCAAATTTTCCTCTGATTTTTCCTTAAATTTCTCTTCCGAAGTTTCCTCCGAATTTATTTCAGATTTTTCCTCCGTTTCATTTTTCATTTCCTCCGAAACGTCGTTCTCATTATCGTCGGCCGTATCTTGAACAGTGTGGTTGACTAAAGAAGTGATGAATCGATAATTTGCGTCAAAGTTTGCGTCAACACCTTCCTGGCAAAATGCGTCAACAAAACTTGCTGCGTCATGGTTGGCATCGGCATTGTTTTCATCGACATTTGCGTATCCCGCCTCCCCCATTATGATATGAGATGACACTGCATCACTACCGGAAAATGCGTCAATCTCGGAAGCCAAATTTGCGTCAGTCATCTTCATGTACGCATCTACAGGTTCTGAAACAAATGGTTTGATTAGCTTACGTTTTATTCTTGACATATTTGAACATTTGACAACAAATTGTTGCCGGATAATATAATAATAGGCAATTGAGGTTAATTGTAATGTCGAAAAAAAACATATCTATATCTTATGATATCAGCTCAATAAAAAGATCTAGAGACTTGAGAATACATGTTATACAGTATTATTTTTAAAAGTATGGTTATTCAGATTTGGACAACTGTATACTATTTTGACATCATAAATTCAGAAAGGAATTGAGTCTTTGCCACAAACTCTGATTATCTAATACCTTTATCTTAGCAGCCCAATGTCGAAGACCGATATTTCAAACTCCGAATTCTGTCTGATCAAATAATTAAAGTTTGAAATATCAGGTTGCTAAGAAATAGGGATTAGAAAAGACTCTATTGCTTTGTCTTTTAAAAAAAGCACAGCATATTTTTGAAAAAATGTACAGACGGAATAATTTTTTTAAAATTAAATATTTTGAATAAAATTTCATAATGTACTATCTATCTATCTATCTATCTATCTGTCTGTCTATCTATCTATCTATCTATCTATCTATCTATCTATAGATGATGTCAAAAAATTTATGACTAACTTTCAAAGTTGTCTCAGTGCTTTTAGGACGACTTTAATTCTGTTTTCCTTAGGAGAGTCGCCTGGCTTTCTGCTAACAGAAACCATTTTATTTCTAACATTTTGATCGAAATTACAGAACAAATGTCAAGGATACCTAAAATATAATTCCGTCTCAACTTTACATCATATTTTTATTTTTTATTTTTCTATCTTCCTCGTTGACTATCTCCATACTCCCCCTCCCTCCTTCCCCCCCTCCTATTTTTTAAACAATATGGCAAACAAACAAACAGAAAGATATTACACTGGGCACTCAATTGTAAAGGTAAACATTTAAGATTGGCTGGATATAATGGACAAGGATTTTGTATATTAAAGATGGATTGGAAATAATGGTCAAGGATTTTTTGTATATTAAAGATGGGCTGGAAATAATGGACAATGATTTTGTATATTAAAGATTGGCTGGAAATAATGGACAATGATTTTGTATATTAAAGATTGGCTGGAAATAATGGACAAGGATTTTGCATATTAAAGATGGGCTGGAAATAATGGACAAGGATTTTGTATATTAAAGATGAGCTGGATATAATGGACAAGGATTTTGTATATTAAAGATGGGCTGGAAATAATGGACAAGGATTTTGTACATTAATGATGGGCTGGAAATAATGAACAAGGATTTTGTATATTAAAGATGGACAAGATAAAGTAAAGTATGATTGAAATATAACATGTTTTCAATCATAACTCGACTCTTATTCAAGAGCTGATGTAAAAAAGAGAAATGTTTAAAAATTCTTTTAACCGGATAGTTTGACTTGTTCTAAAATTCAAAGCTAGAGAAGCTCCGATGTCACAAAGTCGTAAAAGTGATGTTGCATAAATTTGACCTTATCCTTCAGCCCAGTTTTTATACATTGGGTATTGAAGAGACGTAATTTCAATCAACCCTTCTACTGAAGAGTTGTATCTTCCACTAAAGAGTGCATCTTCTACTAAAGAGTTGCATCTTCTACTAAAGAGTTGCATCATCTACTAAAGAGTTGCATCTTCTACTAAAGAGTTGCATCTTCTACTAAAGAGTTGCATCTTCTATAGAGTTGCATCTTCTATAGAGTTGCATCTTCTATTAATAAGTTGCATCTTCTACTAAAGAGTTGCATCTTCTACTAAAGAGTTGCATCTTTTACTAAAGAGTTGCATCTTCTACTAAAGAGTTGCATCTTGAAAAATGTTTCATTCTTTCTTCCTGTTGTATAAATAAGCTAAAGTCACTTTAAAAGAAAAACCATAATTCAAAATTATCAATTTTCATATAGAAAAACTAGAATATCTTCCTCCCAAAAATATTGTGTTTATCATATCATTTATCAAGTTTGCTGTTATGATGTTGTAAAACAATTTATAAATTATAAGGCCAAAATGTAAAATGGAAAACGATTTGAAATTTTTTTACACAATTTTGCAGTAGATACTTACAAAGATTGCACTTTAATAAGTTCTGTTTAATATCTGAGATTCATGAGGAGCTGGGCCTCTTTAAAAAAACTTATTTTTTTGATAAAAAAGCAGAAAACTCTGATTATCTCTGCTTAGAAGGAGGGGGAGCCGGGGGGAGGGGTTATTAATAGGACTCATGTAGGCGTAATTTTAAGTGACCCTCCATGCAAAGATGGCAATTCCCGATTCACAACGACCCTTAAAAGCTTTGTATGATTAAGTATGAATTAGAAATTAATGTTTTAATTTTAAAAACTGATTATTTTCCATTGTGGTTTCTTTACAAGAGTGACTTGTGCATTTCTACTGTAGGAATTATCATATGAAAACATATATCTAGAAAACGACAATAACTTATTATTGATATAAATAAGGTTTCAAGGGTACTGCAAGCAATGCAAACTTTGCATGGAGGATTACATGAAATTACGCTTACAGAGACCGAATTTAAAGAATTTAAGCCGCGGCTCAAATATTGTTGGTTCCACTTAAAATTGTATTTAATTTTTCAAGATTTAAGCCGGTTTTGGGGGGATTTGAGAAGCGGCTTAAATTCATTAAATTCGGACTCAGATTCTTCAAAGATAAAAAAGTATATGAGAATAAAAAGAATATGGAATAAAGGAAAGCAGGAAAGGAATTTAGTCTTTGCCACAAACTCTGATTTAAAATCCCTATATCTTAACAATGTCATGTTTGTAGACCTTAGATATTTCAAACTATGGCTTCTGTTATATCAAACAATCAAAGTTTGAAATATCAAAGGTTTACATAATTTGGTTGTAGATATAAAGGTATTAGAAAATTGGGATTTGTTGCAAAGACTCAAATCCTTTATGAGATAAAGAAAAGGAGGAAGAAGGGAAGGAGTATATGGTCTGGCGGAGTATATGGTCTGGCGGATGATGAGAAAAGAAACAAATTGAAACAGGGGAGAAATTAAAAGGTGAAAGAAACTTGAGTTTTATAAATTGTTTAATTAATCTAACTAGCCCAGGGGTATTATCCTGATAATTTGATATTCTTGACCGTTCATTATTTAAGTTAAATTAAGAAACTGTGAAGGAAATTTCAAGGGAGCCTCTTAAATGATTTCCTTAAATCAGTAATCTGATAAGAAATTTGGAAGATATCTTCGTTTTCCTCACTCGAAAATTGTAAAATTCTGAGAATTTCTCAACTGCTTTTTATTTCCAAGCTAGAAATGCGCAAGTCATTTTCGCAGAAAAACTGCAAATGAAAATAAAAAGTTTTAAAAAACTGAAACCTGAATATATAATTCATGCTTGATCAGACAGAGCTTTTAGGGGTACCGTTGTGAATTGGACTTAAAGTCCCTCTTAGATGAGCATACTAACGGGTAAAAATGTTGAAATCTGTTTTAGATAAAGTATATCGTAAAGATAATAAAGATTATGCATTTTTAAAAAGTATATTAAAAGTCCTAATTGTTTACATCTCAGGTTTTAATAAAAGATCGAATTTATTCTCAATCGATTTGAAATTGGTTTAATTATTCGTCAAGCCAGCGTCAGACATGAACGTAAGTTATGCCAAGTATACGTACACAATATACACGTCTTTGGGCCTGTAGAATAAAAAGTCAAGGTATTTCTATATACAGGGTTACCCACAAAGGATGAGACTGTTAAGACCACCGAAAACTCTTAAAATGTGACATCCCCAAGGTTGAACTAAGTAATCTAATCTATATAATGATTTGGCAAAGAAACTAACAAGTTTACAGTTGCAGGGAATCGTGAATATAAGGAAATAGACAGTATAAATTCCGTACAGTCGTCTCTAAAATCTCATACTTTGTGGGTTACCCTGTACATACCAAGAAAGTTACCATTAATGCCAACATATTTTATGATTTTCCAAAATTATAACAAAATAACGGAAAAAGAATTAAAGGATTTATAAATTTTTTTATGAAATTTCCGGAACTTTCAGAATTTTGACCCCATCTTTAATCATGCCCATGCGCTTAGTTTAAGGGATGATATTTGAATAAACATGATTAGAATCAGACATATCATCCCAGGAATTATGCGCAATTACTGGTTCGACTTTCTGACCTCGTAGCTCCTTTAGTCATGATGAAACAAAGTTTATTTGATAGAAATTTAAAGCTTTTTATTCTTCTTAAAAGCGGTTCCGAAAAATTTTAAAATCCAAGAAAATAGAAACCGGCTCAATACAAACTCTAATTTTCTAATCCCTATATCTTTGCAACTTACAACCAAATGGGGGTGTAACCCATTGAATTCAAACCTTAAAATCAAAGATCTACAACATCAAGTTATAGGGATGAGATATTAAGATTTTGAGTCTAGTAATCAGTTCGTTTACTTTAATCAAACGTAATACACATCAACATAAGGTAAAATAATTGTGTCTTTGCTACAAACTTAAAGTTTCTATTCCATATATCTTAGGAACCAGATTATATGAACATTTTAAACTTAGAATATCTGATCTAACATTAGTCATAGTTTGACAATTCTAGGGTCTATGACTTTGTTTCAAAGATATAGGGGCTAAAACACATTAGATTTAAATATTAAATGTTTTCAATCATAACTCCTCTTTTTTAAATAGCTTTAGAGAAGATCAAAAATGTTTTTTTTTTAAATTTTATTTTGTTTTTCTCATACCAGAGCGTAAAATCAAAAATTGAGGAGCTACAGTGAAACCCTTAATAACGAATACATCGAAAGAATTCATCAAATGTCGTATTCTTCACTTTCTGATAATGGAATGTTGCAGATATTTAGTTTTTTAATTAAATGATTATATGGAACTCTTTAAAACTGTTTCCGCATATTCATAGCTATTTATTTATTTTCACAAATACTGAAATTTACCTAATATAGTATAAAACTTATTGAAAAATTGTCAAGACGACATTTGATAAATTCTTCCGATGTATTCGTTATTAAGGGTTACACTGTATGAGGTCACAAAGTCGTGTAGTTATGATAATTTCCCCGAACCTGTTCCGTGTGTATATCTTGATGGACTGGAGTATACTGACATTAAGGTCAGGCTGACCAGCATACTCGGCGTTCACAATCTACACACTCAGCGCTCCGGCCGGTCGTCCCATAGTTCGTCCGGTCGGTGTTGCGTTCGTTTGTCCTCTGTTAGTTCGTAACTTATAATTTATTTATCGCTTCAATAATTTGTTCTTCTTATTCGTTCGTCCATTTATACATTAATTAATTTATTTAATTATTCTTTCATTTATTTATTAATATTTCATTTTTCTTTCGTCATTTATTCGTTCATTCATTCTTTCATTTATTATCTTTTTATCTATTACTTTATTCATCCTTCATTCATTAAACTATCCATTTATCTTTCTCTTTGTGTTGATTTATTCTTTTCTTATTTTTTATTTATGAATTCATCATTGATAAATTGATTTTGCAGATTGATTCAAGTTTTTGCATCAATTTGCACACCTCCAGTCGTATCGTATATATCTGCACTATACACTGCATTTTTGCACTCTTCATGGTTCTGCAAGCCACGCAATTCGCCATGTTTAATGTTTACACGTAGAGTGCAAATATTTGACACAAAATTCAAGAATTTGCGCGTTTACAATGTGCACAATTTGAAGAGCGCAACAAATTAAATTTGACATTTTTTGCCACTTAAACTCCGAATATTGCCATTTACCAGGTTTAAAGGGACCTCATTTTAAGAGTTCCAAGCATAATCTTTTTTTAACCCAATTTATGAAGTAATGATCTGTCCTGGAAAAAAATGAATTTGTGCAGCCCAGAATTGCAAGAAAATTACCAAGATGTGTGTCATTCCATTTCCAGATACAGAAAGATATAATTGACCAGATATTTACAGCTTTGCCCAATGCTTGGAAACCAAATTTCCGAAATTTCCGTAAATTTTCATCCTGCCCCGGCAAAAGTTTTTAACCAAGCTAAGAACATAAGTGCGCGTGGTGCTTACGAATTATCTAATCAAAGTTTGAGGCAAATCGGTCATACAAACAAACCAAGATTACTACTTAATATATCAGATATACATACATTTAAAGGTTGCATTTATGAATTCTTGAATTAACATGAAATTGACGATTCTGTGAGACTTAGACCTGACTGTCTCTTGAAATGCGTACTTGAGAATACCCCCTTGGATGCGTATATTGCGTAAATAGTGTGTTTATGTCAATATTGATGTTAATGAGTTGAAGGAATGCGTCTCCGTGCATTCTCAGGGTCCTTCCTTTTACACAGATATTTAAACTCATTCTATATAGATATATATTATATATATATCTAGAGAGAGAGAGAGAGAGAGAGAGAGATATCCATATATATATATAAAGATGTTATTAGATATTTCGAGTGTGGTTTCTCAATAAATGTGACTTTAGGAACAGTATTGTTAAAAACACTTTTAAAGCTAGAAAAGATTGTGTGTTTCAAAGTTAAATTAGATAAATGTGTAAAAGTTGAAAACTTGAAAACTACAAGAACAATCCCTTTATAACAAACGAATATTTGTAGATTTATTCAATATTCTATTATTCAACCTCAGAATATTTGTAAATATATTCAATATTCGAATATTTTCACACATAATAAGTTTGTAAATTGTATATTTCAAATGTAATGTACACACTAATACAGGGTTGCCCCCCAATCCAAAGGATGAGACTGTACACAAAACTATAAAAATATGAGGATTTGAAACTTGATTTTTGGTTTCAAAATTCAATTAATTATTTTGATGGTTTACTAAATGATTATGCAGAGAAATAAGCCAGTTTTGGTCTACAAGGAACCCTGAATACAAGAAATGGGACCAAACAAATTCCGAGTGGTTTGATAGATTTGTCGTAGTGGTGGTTTGGTAGATTTGTAGTAGAAGTAAATTGGTAGATTTGTATTAGTAGTGGTTTGGTAAATTTGTATTAATAGTGGCTAGGTAGATTTGTATTATTAGTGGTTTGGTAGATTTGTATTTGTAGTGGTTTGGTAGATTTGTAGTGGTAGTGGTTTGGTAGATTTGTAGTGGTAGTGGTTTGGTAGATTTGTAGTGGTAGTGGTTTGGTAGATTTGTAGTGGTAGTGGTTTGGTAGATATTTAGAGGAACAATTTTTCTTACAGCTAGTCCCTTAAATGTGTTTGTATATTTATGTATGGTGTAAATATGTGTATATATATGCTGTGCAACATATTCACAAGTTTATTTACATTATAGTAAACTATACTCTAAACAAATTGAGAATATTTTTACAATTGAGATTTTATTTTTTTATTGTTTTTACTCCTCCGTTTAAGTTTTTATTATATCCAATGATACTTTTGTTTCTTAAAAGAAATATATGTGAAATAAAATTTTTAACTGAAATTTTTATTCGTATGTGGCATGAACTTTACAAATGCAGAAGAGAATAAACTTTTTTGGCAAGCTCTGTAGGTAAAATTTATATAAATGAACTCTTTTGTTAGATCTTTTATCAAGAATATTTTTATATTGAATTCTAAAGAACCTGTTAAAAAATTTTAAATTATATTTTCAAAACTAGCCATTTTTTCTTCTATATTGTTATCCTGACTGACAAATTTTCGGCTAACATATTTTTTGACATGCTGTATTTTGCATTTTAGTAGTTTATACGGGGTTCCGTCCATCTTTTTTGTTATAATTTTTAGCTTTTTGTTAATGAAAAGCCTTTTGTACATTTTATAAAAATTATAACACTAAAAAAATCGCAGATTTGTTGAAAATCAAAAAAAATTAAACGTACTATCTTCTATTAAGCTATCGTTCAAAAACCTTCCCAGGGTCATAAGCGTTACAAAAAAGACTTTAGTTTTGAAGTTTTGTACAATATATTAGTTTATTTAGGTTTTGAGGATCATTAATCATGTGAATCTGTCACTTTAAATCAAGTAAATATATTCCACTTTAAATCAAGTAAATATATTCCACTTTAAATCAAGTAAATATATTTCACTTTAAATCAAGTAAATATATTCTTCTTTAACTTAATTAAATATATTTCACTTTAAATCAAGTAAAAATATTCCACTTTAAATCAAGTAAAAATATTTCACTTAAACTTCTACACTTACAACTATTACATAGATTCTTTAATAAACTTAAAGGGACCATCCATTAATCCATTAATCCATTAATAGATTCACAATGGTCATCTTTCAACATCAGACTGACAAAGATGAATGTGAAGTTCTTTTGTTTCTCTCTAAAACCTGACTATTTTAAATGGTGGTTCCTCAGAATTAAAAATAAAAAAAAATATCCTTCTCATTGTTACTCAGATAGAGAGTTACAGTTGTGAACCGGATATTCCTCTTATTAAATATGAAGGGTCACTTAAAATTTAGCTTACTGTCCCTTTAAGAAGTTTCTATGCTTGCGTTATAAATCTTAATTTCAAATTTGCTATTTTTCTACTGTCCACCAATAAGTTCCTACAGTTTGGTTTGATATAATTTGATGATGTTCTTATTAGGTCACATGGGCTAAGCAACCTTATATTAGGTCAATAACTGGATTAGTAACCTTAACCTATCTATCTATCTGTCTATCTATCTGTTTTTCATCTATCAATCTTTGAATCTATCTATAGATATATCTATGTATCTATCTGTCTAACTACTGTCTCTCTATTTTGCTATTATTTGTTTATCTATTTTTTTTTTGTCTTTCTATCTATCTATCTATCGGTCCGTCTATATTTGTGTCTATCTGTCCGTCTATAGTTGTGTCTATCTATCGGTCCGTCTATATTTGTGTCAATCTTTCGGTCCGTCTATAGTTGTGTCTATCTGTCGGTCCTTCTATAGTTGTGTCTATCTGTCGGTCCGTCTATAGTTGTGTCTATCTGTTTATCTATCTGAAGAGCAATCACGTCTACAGCACGACCCTGAATATCTCTGGAAAAATTTGTTAAAGATTATCTCTTTCCATCATCTCCTTCCTTCTCCTCCTTTCTCCTTCCTTCTCCTTCCTTCTCCTTCCTTCTCCTTTCTTCTCCTTCCTTCTCCTTCCTTCTCCTTCCTTCTCCTTCCTTCTCCTTCCTTCT